AAATAGTGAGGACTGAAGGCCTCATGAGGAATAGGTGGAAGGACAGAGAGATAAGAGAGAACAAAGAGGGGGAATAATGAGTAAACGGGTAGCTACAACAAGTATAAACCAGAAAACATATCTCAAAGTGGCACATAATGGCTCTAAAGTGGTAAGTAAAATCACCATACTTCCCTAAAGGTAGAACACTGAGCATACACAGGTTTCATTGTGACTGAGACCAATAACGCATAGGTCCTACAGAAAAAAGGACCACGTAAAACAAAGAAGAAAATCCTAAAATACAAACTATAGTCCTAAAAGAGGCAGCTGGTTGGAACTTTTGTGAAAATCCATGATGTACATTTGCAAATCTGAGGAAAATGATAAGCACATATCCAGCTATTAAATAAGTAAATAGAAGCATCACAATAAACTAGATATGGCCTCTTTGATCAGATCTATATGCTAAATGAAATGCACAGATATTCTGAATTTCTGTCTTAGCACCAGACCTCTGATGCCATGATCCTCCAAAAACCCCAGCAAAACAAAAACTGATGAGGATCTACTGTATTTCCAGTAACATGCCAGCATTACAGCTGCGTGCAAGACAAAGTGAGTACTTATTCATAGGTATGAAGAAAAAACTAGAAAAGCACAGGAAACCACTTAACTCAGGAACACATTTCTGCCACTGTCTTGGGGCAATACTAGTATTAGTGTGCAAACACGTGTACATAACATACCCAATATGGATCCATCTAAAGTCCAAAAAAACTGCACACAATCTAAACGTCCAAAAGCAAAGCAAAGGTCTTTGCTTTCATCCATGGATTAATCGACAATGAATTCATAACTTGATGGCACTACTGGGAAGGGTTAACAACTTTTGGAAGTAGGGCTTAGATTAAAAAAAAAAAAAAAACTAAGTCAGGAGGGTCCCTCCTCAATCTTCTCTGCTTCCTGGGTTGTAACAGGAGTCTTTTGCACACAACAGAACCACGTTGCTCTATCACATTCTCTCTGCCATGATGAAAGTATACAGGACATACAGAACTTACCACATGCAGGTCCAGAAGCCAAGGAGTCAAGTGACCATGGACTGAAACACCGAAATCCATGAGCCAAAAGAAACCTTATCACCATGTATTTTATCACATGAAAAAATTCTAGGAGAAGCAGAAAAGGTCAAAAGCTATGTACATATGACCATATAAGATGATGCTAAGCGAAATGAACCCCAAGACAGGGACACAAGAGGTTTTATCCTTCGTGCTGTTGCTTTTAATGTACTTATAATGTATGTTTTTTTTGTTCCTTTTGTATGTCCTTCCCCAATGGTATAACTCCTGTTTTCACTATATTTGATTCCAGTGCCCTGCATCTTGTATAAACATTTTTCTAATTTGGGGAGGGGAAGGGAAATAACAAAATGCTGAAATAATGATACAGGTTGACCCATTGTAACAATGAGATGTACAAGACACTATGTTGAAAACAAACGTTATAATTTGGGGTGGGGGAGGGGGGACTTAGGAGGTGGGAAAGGAAGGGATGGTAGGGAAAAAACAAAGGAGGGGGTAACAATGCTCGAAAGGAAATGTATTCATTATCTTAATCCTGTAACTGTAACCCCTTTGTATAGTATCTTCACAATAAAAATATATTAAAAAATATCATGCAACATAGTTGAAAAAAAGAAATTCTAAACCAAAAGAGCAACCCTTTTAAGGAACAGTTTCTTCAAATATTAAACATAAACATATTATGCAATACATCAATTCTATCCCCAAGTATGTATATGAGAAATAAAAATGTATTTCTGAGCAGGGTGAGCCAGTGGCTCACGCCTATAATCCTAGCCACTCAGGAAGCTGAGATCTGAGGATCGTGGTTCAAAGCCAGTCAGGACAGAAAAGTCCCCATGTGAGACTCTTATCTCCAATTAACCACCCAAGCACAGGAAGTGACGCTGAGGTAGAGTGCTAGCCTGGAGGACAAAGAGCCTCAGGGACAGCACCTAGGCCCTGAGTACAAGCCCCACAACAGACAAAAAAAAATGTATTTCCATACAAAAGCTTGAAGATCAATGTGCATAACAGCATCATTCACAACAGCTAAGAAGTGTCAATGAGCCAATGAATAGAAAAAGAACATGCTGATCATGAAACAACTGCCATTCTGCTCACTTTCATACATTTTATAAAAATAATAACCTTTTTATATATTCAACAGTGCTCTGTATTTACATCATACTCTATTTCTAAACATTAATTAGCCCAATCGTATAAATCTGTAGTCACTTAATGTTCATAACAAGTTTTCCCACAGTGAAAATGATTTTTTAATGGAACTCCGTATACAATCCATTTCTAACACTAATTAGATTTATCTGGGGAAAACACCATTGGCTAAGTGGTATAAATAATAATAGCTAAACAAAAATGTTAATATGCTAAGTGGGAGAATATTATTCCATTTAAAGTACATAATAACCAACATTAATAAGAAAATAGAAATTTGCAATCCCGAATTCACAAAGACTGCATTTTGTTCTATTTATAAACAACTATCTTATTCACAGGGAACAAGGCATTATCTTCAAATTTGTAGTATCCACTTATACCAATGCAAATGCTACTGCATAATAATTATGCCTCTATTTTACTTGAATATATAAATAAAAATCATTTCCATAACTGAAGTAATGAAAGTCTTAACTATGATGCAGATTACACATAAAATCAGCCCTCATTTGAGTCATAATTTAATGGGGTTATTATATCTACTGTTAATGTGTAATACACAACCTCTTACATTCAAACACTGTGTTTTGGTCTAAATGTAGCTATAACATTCTGAAATGCACACCATGATTCAAAGCCATAATGTGTTCATTCGGGGTTTGGATTTGCACTTCATGAGATCCTCATCTATTATAACTTGCTGAGGAAGGACAAAGGAAGATGGGAAAGCTTTTTAGGAAGAAACAAAAACAGCCAACCACCAATGTGGAAGAATTCTTTTTCCTCCTAAGTAGGCCATGGAGACGAGTGCTGGTGCAGTGCTCATTTACTGATGAGCTTTGAACAAGGCACTATGTGCTGACCTGCACACACAGAAACTGCCGGCTCCAAAGAAGTCACCAACAGGCCAGCTGGACACTCCTAATTCACTGTAAGAGCAGAAACCAGGAAGCCCAACAGTTACACAAAGCTCTTTGTGGACTTTTATAAAGAAGGATATGAATTCAGCAGAAGCTCACTGAGTTGAGTTCAGCAGAAAAATGGTCCAGCTCTCTGCTGAATAGAAAGCTAATATATCTCTATATTGGCCAAAACATAGCAGGACCTCAAGAGCCCCTGGGGTCATGCAAGTGAGTTCAACTGAAAATTTGTTCACATTTTCTATCCTTTATTTTAGGTCAAATTCTACTTCCCAATTTATTTTTACCGCAAGCTAATCATCATGCAGTGGGTATTTCCAAATGAGTTTATCAACTATTTACCAGGAATTTATTACACTTGTCATCTTAGCTACTCATGAGGTAGAGATTTGGAGGACTGTAGATTGAGAACCTGTAGTCCCAGTTACTGTGGGAAGGGTTCAGGCTGGTCCAGACAAACAGAGAGAGCTTGTCTCAAAGTTACTAGAATAAAAAGGGCTGGAAGCATGGTTCAAGTGGTAGAGCCCCTGCCTGAAAAGCACCTAAACCCACAAAAGGTGGTAAAAGAGCCTATTCAGGAATCAGGATGGTCCTGAGTTTGTAAAGCATAGCAAGAAATGATGACAGAGACAGGCAAGAGTGGTCAGTGCACCCACCCCAAGGGTAAGTGTGGAGACCAAAAGGTCAAAGATCCAAGTTTGGGGTTAAGAATATCTAATGAAAAGCAGGTCTTTGAATACAGTCTGAAAGACACTTCCTCCTAATACACAGAACTGCTATTATAAGAATTGCTTGATGGAATTCCATGTTCCTCCATGTTCCTCCATGTTCTTCCATGTTCCAGCTTATAACCCCAGTTTTCACCGTATTTGATTCCGGTGCCCTGCATCTTATATACACATTTTTCTAATTTGGGGAGGGAAAGGGAAAACATAAAATGCTTAAATAGGAATACAGCTTGACCCATTCTAACAATGAGATGTACAAGACACTTTGTTGAAAAAGAACTTTACAACTTCAGGCATGGGAGGAGGGGAAGGGGAAGGGAAAACACAGGAGGGGGTAACAATGCTCGATAGGAAATGTACTCATTACCTTAACTCATGTAACTGTAACTCCTCTGTACAGTATCTTTACAATAAAAAAAAAAGAATTGGTCAAAATCCTATAGAGAAAATATCAGAATGTTTTATATCCAGTGAGGGAAGCCAAATAATTACTAATCAGTCAAAATATGCCTAAAGATGAAATATATCCACATCACTGTAGGTTCTTCAAAAAGGCTACTATTTCCATCTGGGAGAAGTACAACAAAAGAAGCCCACTATTTGTATACAGCAATTTACTTCTAAATAGCAATAAAAATGTATATCCTCTAGTCTCTAGTTATCTATAATAGTATGAATGACTCACAAACATAATACTGAATTATAACTATTTCATAAAAATACAGAAACAGTCAAAATCAAACTATCACATTACAATGTAAGAGTATGAAGATTAACTACAACAAAATAAAGACCAAACTGGTGAGTTATTAGAATTAGTCAGGACAAGATCTCTGGAAGAAGACAAAAGACTGGAAAGTAAATTGGGAGAGGCTGTGGGATGTGGTGGAAGGCAAGGGCATAGTCCTAGTTATTTCTTTGTGTGGTGGTTTTGGGTGTTTTGTTTGCAATCACATGTTGAGTTCGACATATTTGTCATGTGCACTTTCCTGCATGTCGTATTTCACACACCCAAAATTTGAAACACAGTCTCTACACACAGTTATACAAACCCTCCTCCTAGCTGGGGTTAGGTGTTCAATCTATACCTTTCCAACCCTTAACTCCCCTGCTTCAGAGCCTACCTCCTGTAATGGTTTATTAATTAATGATGAAACACTGATGTTTTCTCTTCCTTCAGGATGGATCTCAAAATTCACTCTTTGGTACAGAATCTGAAACAAGAACAGGCTATATTAAAATGAGTTTTAATTTTCCCCTCTTTACAATGCACGTTTGAAATTTTTAAAATATTCTTTATTTTTCCTTTCGAGGAAAGGCATTGTTATTTCCTAGTGAATAGTTTTTGACAACAAACATACTTTAGGACTTTACATGAATATTTCAAAAGTGAGAATTAACTGTGGAAAAATGAATGAAAGCAAGGTAAACATGAAATTTCCACAGACCTCTCAGATTGTTACCAGAGTTTCTCAAAAAGAGCACGTATTCTACTTATGCAGACCTAGCCTCTGAGTTTTAGGAACATTTGCCCAACCCAGGTCCATATGGATCTTCAATTCCCAAAGGACACCAAAAGGAATGCTGTAACTATCATAGCTTCAGAGACTATTTCACATGCTCATTCCCCATATATTTACCTTAGCTTTACCTTAAACTCAGTAATTTTTTTCTAATACTACTTTCAATTTTTCTCAAGACCAACTTGTTCCCTTTCTTCTTTAATCTTTATGATAATAAATTCAGAGACATTGGTTAAGATTCTCCTATTTTCAAATCCCTTTTCAGGTAGGTCACAATCTATTTTTCTTGCATTAAAAAAAATCACTACACATACCTAATCCACACTGTAACAAAATACACTTTAGCAAGGTCCAGGCTGTTTTGAATTTTCTTTTGTTTTGTTTTGTTTAGGAGCACTTACTTGTGCCTGTAGACTGCTGCTGGCTGTCAAAAGAAGTTCAATATTGCTAGCAGGGCAATGTGTCAAAGCAAAAGCCATGAGTTCTTGTCGAGTGGCCAAGTCCTGGTAACCTTCTGATTGTCCTAACTGGCTACAAACATCCCAACTTTTAGGATAACCTACAAGGTAGCCAAGAAAAAGACCATGATTTCCCAAAGTTATATAAGACACATCCAGGTAATGCTGGTAGCTCACACTTGTAATCCTAGCTACCCACTAGGCTGAAATCTGAGAATATCAATTCAAAGCCAGCCTGGGCAGGAAATTCCCTGAGACTATCTACCAAAAAGCCAAAGGGGAGTACTATTATTCAGCAAAAAAGCTCAGGGGTAGTGCCTCCCCCCTGAGTTCAAGCCCCAGGACTGGCACTAAAAAAAAAAAAGGTATATCCAAGATCAAACTGAAGAATACATACTGGATGCCAGGTCTCCTACTACCAAAGTAAAACTGAAGACATAATGGCATATGAGGCAGAAATTTAAGAATTTAAATTAGAAAAGGAAGATTAGGCTGATTAACAATCACAAAAAGTTCAATGCTACTCTAGACAATTTTCTCTGACCAACATTCACTTTTAGAGTAACTAAAAATGAATGGGAATATACATATATATTGTGCCCTGTTGTAGAATGAGTAAAATATAGATCCCTTAATTCAGAACGCTATGGCCCAGCCCAATTGCTTAGCACTCCTGTGAGCCTATAAAAGCTATAACATACTTGCTTTACTGCTACTAAGGGACAATAATAACCCCTTTCCTCTTAGGTTGTTGAAAGGATAAGTAATACTTATAATTAAGAGCTCATCAGGAACTTCAAGGTACTCAATAAAGAGATATGAAGATAGAAACACAGGTAGAATCATTCACTGCGCAGAAGAGGATAGATATCCAAGGTCAGTGCCAGAAACAGAGCCACTTCTTGATTCCTAGGAGAGATCATTCTTATTCTTAAAATATAATTGTATTCTTATTTGAAGGAATTCTAGCTTGAAAATATGACTTTTCCTCCCCTGGGAACACAGGCCTCCATCCAGAATAACTTCTCCAGGTATATTAAGTAAAAATTAATTCATTCAAATTCTTAAAAGAGCTCTCTAAATAAATAATTTTGAATTGATAAAATATGTGTACAGAAAACAACTATTCTGAACTTCATATTACAAAGTCACTTGGTTAATATTATTTAATATAGTGCTTGTATGAAACCAAATTTCTAATGTCAGGGTTGTAAGTACCTTAATATGTTTTATTCCAGAGTGTTGTTTTGTTGTTGTTGTTGTTGTTTGTTGTTTGTTGTTGCCAGTCCTGAGGCTTGAACTCAGAGCCTGGACTCTATTCCTGAGCCTCTCTGTGCTCAAGATTAACACTTTACCACTTGAACCACTGCACCACTTTTGGCTTTTTCTGTTTATGTGGTACTGAGGAATCAAACCAGGGCTTCATGCATGCTAGGCAAGCACTCTACCACTAAGCCTGTCCGGAGTTTTTAAATGTTATAAATAAATTGCCACAGATTGTCTCCTTCACCAACTAAACTTTCTCAACCAAGTCTCAACCTTTACTAGAATGCATTCCTCAGTTTCAGCAAGAATTCTCCTTTAAGTTGTAGAGTCAGGATGTCTACACCCTCAATATCTGACTGACTTCTTCATCTGCCACCCTTCAAACCTAGTCACCTTGTCCTGCCTTCTGGGGAAAATCCTATTTAATCAAGTTAGCAAGAACTTTCTAAATTTGATATTTCTTCTTAGTAATTTTCCATCCAGTGACTCCTCTGTTTTGCTCATTACCTGTAATATCCACCTGTATTTGTTGTGTTAGCAGTTGAGTCTAATCTATCTCCTCTCTGCAATAACTTTGACACCTAACACAATTGTCCTCAACAAGGTCTTCCAGACTATTATTAACAAGTATCAGAATCATTTTTCATTAATAGTAGACATACAAAGAGTGCATAAATCTAGCTTTGGATACAGCCCAGTGACAGAGCACTTACGTGTAATGCATGAGGCCAGCACCAAATAACAAAAACAGTAGCAAAACAGTGCACGTATCCTTAGTACACAATTCCATGAGTTTTCATGAAGTGTTGTACTCTGTTTTAACTACCCATTGTTGAAGTATAAGCAGTAGGTCATACAGTGTTTGGGCACAGGTACAGGAACACAGCATTTAGTACAAAGCCTATGATAAAATGATGTCACTTTCTACCAAAGAACATGTTCTTCAGATGATGAATACTTCCATAAGAAAATCACTTACAATCCAGAGACAGGATTTTTGAATTTCAACATAGAAAATGTTAAGTTGCAAACTACTTCCCAATTTTTCAAAATTAGTTTGAAAAGCAATGTTCTTTTTACAAACTAAAGAATAAAAATAATGACTCTGTAGTCACAAATTATCAATATTATTTAAATTTTATTTTATATATAAACACATGAATGTCATTAAACATATTCATTAAACTGTGATTATATTTTAAATAAGACCTGGAAAGCAATCAAAAGCTCAGATAAGGCATAACATCTGAGTTCATTAAAATATTAATATATATACATACAGCATAAGTGCTTGACAGGGCTAATAAAATGTATCTCAAGCAAAAATGTGGCTAGCTTACTAATCAGGCCAATTGATTTAAGCACAGACCTTTTCCATTATTCATCACGTACAGAGCACATGAACGAAGTGTTAGAATAAGTAAGGTGCCTACTCACCTGTGGCCATCAGCTCCTGACAATGCATATTTGCTGCTTTGTAGTCATGGAAACGAAGTGCTTGCTCTACTAAAAGGATTAGAACTTGTCCACGCCTTTCTTCTGGGTCTTCACCTGGAAGCACATGCAAATGAATTAATGATTAGGGCAGCATCAATTGATTTTAAAAAGCTCATTAACAGTGGTGGCCAAACTAATTCAAAAAAATAAAGCATAGAGATTAGACTATTTGTAAATGATTAGAGGATAAAAGGTTACAGTTATTTTGACCTTTCAATTGACTGACTGCATAGAAGTAGTCCCCAGTCTCCACAGAGATCAATGATTAATATCAGTTCCTAATTAAAATACTGCACCAAAAACTCCATATGAGAATGGACTACAGATCTACAGAGAAGTCTAGATCTTTCCTCAAACAAAGGAAAGAGAAGAACCCCATACTTCCAAAGAAAACAAATTATAAGAGTGACTCGTAAATAAAGTAAATAGATGAAGAAAACACAATCATAATATGCCTCATGTTAAAACTCAACAAATGCTGATTTTGTTGGGCTGTGACCTTGTCTTTCTATGCAAGAGGAGGGTGGGGCCAAGGAGAGAGGGTGGGCAAATAAAGAACTCATTTGTACTACAAAATCAAGTAAGAGAGGGGTGGGATGAAGAGATGAGAATGTTGAAGGAGTAATACTGATACAGACATATTATATTCATAACTGCACTATTAAATGGCACCTCCTTTGCACTACACTTAAAGATACATTTGTTAAACTCAATTCGTAAGCATACCTGTAATCTCAGTACATGGCAGGCTGAAGCAGAAACACCATGATTTCAAGGCCAACCTAGGGTACAGTACATAATGAGATTTATCTCACCACTACCACCAGGAACAGGAGAAAAAGGAGAAGGAAGAGGTGCAGGAAGAGAAATTACACTAGCAATTAAAATTAAAGCCAGTAATATTTGGAAGCTAGAGCTAGAACTGAAGTATAGCCTACAGCACTGACAAAGACTGCTAGGTGGGCTCCTCTGCCTCATGTCCGGCATCACCAGGTCTGTTCTCCAGACGCAGTTTTAGCAAATATCCTATTAAGTTGGTTTATCCAGAACCTCCACCCTAGACATTTCATTACCCTAGAAGGGAACTCTGGCCTGCCTTCAGCAATAATTATATATCCTGTTAGATCTGCTTAGCCCAAGATAAGTCCTCTTTGTATTTCCTATTCCACCCTCCCTAGTTTTCCTTTTAGGAGTTGGAATTGAACTGCTCCTTTACTGTGAAGCCATTAGGCTGAGACATCCCAACTGAAAAACAAACCCGTGGAAAGGGTTTCATGGAGCTACAGCTATCGCCTTTAGTAATTCCACAAAGGCCACTGGTGACTTGGCTAACACAGAATTCAGGAAAGGCAGAAAACAGTTTGTACCACCACACCAACAGCTATGGCACCGGCCTTAACAAATCAGAATTCCTGAACCCAATGCTACACATGAACTATTAAAATTATTTCCTTTGTGTTTTAATATATTGGTGAGATACTAAAAGTACAAATTTAGGGTGAAATTTAACTGTCTGAAGATGCTTTCATGCACAGCAAACTTGTACACAGATGGCTATTTCAGCGGTAGGTTTAGGATTTGGTTATTCTTGAACTATGGATGGTCCAGTATGTTTGAGAATACCCCATGAAATTTGGGCAGTTATAAGAACCCTAGAAGACTGAGAGTTGGTACTGGACTGTGGAGAATGCTGCAGTATTATTTATAAAGTCTGTTTCACCCAGGTGGAAAAGCTGACTTGAGTACTGGAAAATTTACTATTCCATCTTCAAGAGTTCACAGGACATCCTCATGACTCATTACTCAAGAATGTATACCAAGAAGAACACCTAAAAGCCAAACACAATAGAGCCAACTACTTGAGAGATGAAGAATGGGAATGTCATGGTTCAAGGCCAGCCCTGGAAAAAGTTTGTAGGCAAAAAACAAATCTATGACCCTAATAAGCACCCTGTAATCCCAGCTGTTCAAAGACTGAGGCAGGAGGGCACAATTTCAAGCCCAGCCTGCACTTGTTGGTGAGTTTGAGGTGGTCTAAGCTGTGCAGGGAGACCCTGTCTCAAAAAGAAAAAAAGAGAGAAAGAAAAAACCCTACATCCCACTTCCTAGTGGCTATATCTTCATGTAGTCAAGTTATCTATGCATATAGATATTGATGTATCATGATCATATCTTGATGGTACGAGCCTTGTGTAAACAAGCTGTTTGTAATCATAAAGATGCTTTGATTTGATGATATAAACTTTTAAGCACTGAACTACGGATAATGATCGATGACGAACTATGAAGATCAGTACAGAACTAGTCAGAAGAAAGTGCTAAAAATTCAGTAGCAAAACTTTCAGATAATCTGACTTAGCTTCTTGATGTTGAACAGTAAATCCCAGCAGCAACCATAGATACGGTGGTATATATAGTAGAGTGGAGGGATTTCATTTTGTTACTCTTTATAAAAAGTTACAGTTTATTCCCTGGGTTTAAAGAAAATGTTCAAGTAGTATAAACACTGATGTATAAGGTGCTTTAAAAAAAATGGAAAGAATCTTAAGTGTAACTAACCAGAAACCATTAACTACCTACAACTAAATGTTCTGGTCTCAGGCTTCTTTTGTGCAAAGCACTGACTTTTCACTTGGGCCTAGATCTGCCCAATGGGTAACTAAAAGCAGGACACAAATCTGGAATCGCTGCATCTGTGTTAGTCTCTGTGTTAGTCTCTCCTGTAGTCACCCTGGAATTCAGGGACAACTACCTCTTGTGACACAGAGTAATCTAACCCCAGGCAGCAATGACTTCATCACCTTGACAAAGCCTTCACCTTCTTTGCGTGCCCCCTTTTGTTCCTCTCATATGTAATCTAAGGGCTCATGTTAGTACCCCAAAAACAACATTAATGACAGTGGTCCCCTTATCTTACTAGTACATCAATAGTGATTAAAGTTCCTTTTCTGTTTTTCAGGAATTCCAGATATTTGTTCTCTTATAATTTTATCTTTGAAGACTTTCTTATTTGTTTTTTTAATTTATTTTTTATTTTTTTATTGTGAAAATACTATACAGAAGGGTTACAATTACATGGGCAAGATCATGAGTACATTTCAAGCATTGTAGCCTCCTCCTTTGTTTCCCCTTCCCATCCCTTCCCATCTTCCCCCTGCCTCCCCCATGCAATCCTCCTCTCCCCCACCCAATCCTCCTTCCCCATTTCCCCCCACCAAAGTTGTAAAGTTTGTTTTTGACATAATGACTTGTACATCTCATTGTACAAGTCCACCTGTATCCCTATTTAATGGGTCCACCTACATCCCTATTTAAACAATTTGTTTTTTACCTTCCCCTCCACAAATTATACCAACATCAAATACAGTGAAAGCAGGGGTTATACTGTGGGGGAGGGGCATACAAAGCAACAAAGAAAGCATCTTATAAAAGTGTTAGAAACAATCGCATGAAAGAATAAAACATTTGATTACATATCTTAGGGTTCATTTCCCTAACATCAACTTATCTGACCTTTTCTGCTTGACTCAGACATATACTAGTTATTGCAAATAAGGGAAACCATGGGACGTATGTTTCTTTGGGCCTGGCTTACTTCACTTAATATAATTTTTTCCAAGTCTTTTCATTTCCTAACAAATGGGGCAATGTCATTCTTTCTGATGGAGGCATTTTGCTGTATCCTGAGTAGGCCACAAACTCACAATTCCAAAGCTTCAGCCTCCCATCAGCTAAGATCATGGGCATGTTCCCACAGGCCTGTTTTTATGCATTATTTTCTACAATATCAAACCAAGAAATCTAGAAATATCTGATCAATTCTGTGCTAGCAGCCAAATATATGCCAAAGTCTGTTGACTAAATAAAATACAAGAGGTTCACTTTGTATAATTATATAGTGTCAAAAAGAGAAGAAACTGAGTATGGTCAGATTAGCATTTATTAAGGTCAATGATTCAGAACCATCTGACTTAATGAAGCAAAAGATCCCTTGGTAAGACTGCAAATATCCAAGGTAGAATAAGTCTTCTATCTGAAACTGTCAAGGAGGATCAATGAGGTCATGCTAGTTTTGGGGTTTTATCTCAAACTGCAGAAGGAGCATTGTGACAAGGGCTTAGTTAAGACAGAAAAGGTATTACATTTCATAACTATTAGTATGTTTATTACATGAACTCAGGTGGCTCAAAATAAATATATGTTCAATGAATTATACATACTAGCCTTGTGTTTTGATGATACTACACTAGATTATAATACTGATTTCACATGGAAATTTGTGAAATAGGATGTGGCCAATGGTCCAAGTATTAAAACTAAAACAACTGTACTACAGAGGTTTCCATATGCCTGCATGTATCCTGAACACCTGTGAATCCTGCTCAGGCATATGCAAGAATGAGGCAAACACACGCAAGCTGCTCTGTAGGACTAAAGATGTTCTTCCTATTCACACGGGCTGCCAGGACCACTGATCCATATTCCTCTTCCTATTTTTCCCTGCTAAGCAACATAATAAACTGTTATCCTTAATTTATTTTGTACAATGGAAAGGTGACCACGCAGATATTCATGAGATTAAATGAGATAAAATATGTAAAAATTTCACCAAAGAGTTAATGCACAAAGTTTTCTAACATGTCTTCACTTACAAGAAAGATGGTAATCATAACATTTCAATACAGATACATAATTCCATAACATATGTGCTGAATCGTTCCAGGAACTACTAACCCTTACTCAAAAGGTACTCAACTGGCACCTATAAACATATATTTAGATGTTCACTTCGAGGATAAGATGGACACACTAAATTTCAGTAGCGAGACAGACTCGACAAATGCGACAACCTTAAAATAAAACGTTTCTGCACAGCTAAAGACATAGCAACCAAACTAGAAAGACAGCCAACTAACTGGGAAAAAATATTTACCAGCAATATATCAGACAAGGGGTTAATATCCAGTATATTCAGGAAACTCAAGAAACTAATCCCTCCAAAAGCCAACAAATCAATTACTAAATGGACAAGGGAATTAAAGAGAGACTTCTCAGAAGAAGAGATAAAAATAGCAAAGAAACACAGGAAGAAATGTTCACCATCTCTGCTTGTAAAGGAAATGCAAATAAAGACAACCCTGAGAAACCACCTTACCCCAGTCAGAATGGCCCACATCCACAAATCAGCCAACGACAAATGCTGGAGGGGATGTGGAGAAAGAGGAACTCTATTACACTGCCAGTGGGAATGTACAGTTACACAGCCACTTTGGAAAGCATTCTGGAGGGTCCTTAGAAAGCTAAATATTGACCTCCCTTATGACCCAGTCATACCACTTCTAGGCATCTATCCTGAACAACAGGAACCAGGATACAAGGACACATGCACCTCCATGTTCATTGCAGCACTGTTCACAATAGCCAGGATATGGAAACAACCCAGATGCCCCACGACAGATGAATGGATCCAAAAATTCTGGTATCTATACACAATGGAATATTATGCAGCCATTAGAAAGGGCAAAATAATGGCATTTGGAGGGAAATGGATGGAACTAGAAGAAATCATGTTGAGCAAGGTTAAGCCAAGAGCAAAGAGACAAGAGGCACATGGTCTCCCTGCTAACTGGATATTAAATCCAAAACATAAGGTACGACAAAGTTAATAAGACTCAAGAAACAAAGGACCTCCACTCATCTGGTCGTATCATTACTAAATAACCCCATGCTGCTGATCATATATATGGTATATATGTGCACACCAGAGGGAAACACAATACAAATTTCACAATACTGTGAAATTTGTGAAATTATGTAATTACTTAATCACAATAAAAAAATTTACCAAAAGAAAAGGAAACTTCTGTAGCTTAACATTCAAACACTTACCTGCAACCTTGAGCAACTCCGCCAGGCTGAGAAGCTTAGCAGACTGTTTGTAACATGTGGGAGACTGGGAAATACACTCCTTAATGAGGCTGATTCGATCTGAGCACAGTCGCACTACAAAAGAAAGACATACTAAAGAATTGCAACGGCAGACATCACAAAAGGGTGCTGTGACCACCACCAAGTAAGGTAATCAAACTGAATGAAAATAGACTCAAGTGGGGCACAGGGGCTCATACCTACAATCCCAATCAGGAATACATAATAAGACACTGTTTCAAAAATGAAAAATAAATAAAGCAGGGACCAGGTACAGCAGATCACCCCATCTGCCAAGAAAGAGGAGACAAAGTGGATCAGGACTCAGAGCCAGCCCAGGCAAATAAAGTCACCAAGACCACATCACAATCAGTAAGCCAGGTGAGATGGCACACCTGTGATCCCTGCTTACCCAGGAGGTACAGACAGGAGGATCATAGTCTGAGGCAGACCCCACAAAAAAAAAGCACGGGAGAGCTGGGAATGTGGCTTAGTGGCAGAGTACTTGCCTGGCATGCATGAAGCCCTGGGTTCCATTCCTCAGTACAACATACACAGAAAAAGCCAGAAGTGGAGCTGTGGCTCAAGTGGCAGAGTGCTAGTCTTGAGCAAAAGCAGCAAAAAGCAGCTCAGGGACAGTGCCTAGGCCCTGAGTTCAAGCCCCAAGACTGGCAAAAACATAAAAACTAAAAAGCATGAGATACTATCTAATTAAAAGCAACTAAAGGCTGTGGGCAGAGCTAAAGGAGTAAAGCAGCTAGCAAACAGGCGTTTAAACCCTAGTACCACCAAGAAAAACCCAAAGTTGTTTCCAGATCAATGAAAACTAAATAAAATGTGCATGTACAAAAATAAATTATTGCTTCTGAATACATCATGTACAATATGGATATTTTCTTTACAAGTAAACTTCTAAAACATGGCCAATGAATTGGCATCCTGAAGTTACAAAAATGGGTCACCTTTAACAAGGGCCATGTCAGGACCTAATACACAACCACAAAACCAAGGTAGAGAACTAAGACCACTGACAGCCATGGATCACCATTTCCTCCACACCCTCATTTGATGTGAAACTCAAAATTCAGTTCCTCCTCTCCTTGTTTCTCTTAGGCAATGCATATTACTAACTTTCAAGTATTTTAAATGTATTTGGAGGAGTCTAACGGACTCTAATTACCAGGTGAAATGACATTTATACTTTATCTTCTAAATCTCTCTACAATCACTACACAGTTGTCTTTTACTGCTGATAGAAAGTACATATATCAGCTTGAATTATATAAGTAGCTAACAGACACACAGAGACACAAATACACATATACATACACACACACACATACGCACACACACACACAAAGCCACATGATTTAATATAAAAGCAGAAAAGTTACATTGTGCTCCACTCTTCCTTAATTGAAAACTGCAATAAATGTTACTGATTTTAATAAGCTAAAAATGTCTCTTAGTAACTTTAACTAATCTTCAAAATTTTAAGAAGCTTTGAGCTCAAAGATTGCATTAATGGTACAACTGAATAAAATCTTCTCCCAAATGAAAATTACCTGACATAGACTTTATAAAGATGTTATAGGATATGTGTAATTACACACAAATTACTTCCAAGCAATGATATTCAAGGTTTCAATAGTGATGTCTCTTTCAAGTATAATAAATCTGAGAAGCAGAACTTTAATTCTGAGCAAATCTACAGTGATGACCCTGTGAACACAAGAGTGTCTGATTCATATTCCCACAGGTCCAGTCAACTCTAACACTAAAAGGGACAAACAACAGGAACAAGGAACTTATACTAGGCCATCCCTATCTGAGGGGGGAGGGAGATAGGGAAGAAGGGGAGAGAAGAGACAGCTATAGTGTAAATTGGAAGGAAGTCTGCTCTGTTTCTCCCATCCTCATTTCTAACCTTTTCTACAGTAAGAAGAGAGATTAAAGAAGACAAAAGGCCAGCCAAGCACACTGCAGAACACGTGGACCTCCCTCTCATTTAGGGCACTGGGGTCCTGGGTTTCAAGAGTTTGAAGAGACTGAAAGCTACTTGTCAAGTGAGGTCAGGTAAGGCCAGAACATTGTGAGATGTGTCCTGTTCTCACAGCACAAAGTTGCTAAGACCATGGCTGTGAGACAGGAGGAAAGTTGACGTGGCACCTAAATGTCTTTTATTACTGAAAATGAAATACTAACTCTAAGCCAAAATCTGTGATTATTACTTCTGCTTAAAAAAAAAAAACTAAAACTGACTGAATTAAAGAATACACTGGTTCTGGGAATGTAGCCTTATGGTACAGTGCTTGCCTAGCATGCATGAAGCCCTGGGTTCAATTCCTCAGTACCATATAAATAGGAAAAGCTGGGAGTGGTAACGTGGCTCAAGTGGTAGAGTGTTAAAATTGAGCAAAAGACGCTCAGGGACAGTGCCCAGGCCCTGAGTTCACGCCCCAGGATTGGCAAGATACATACATAATGCATACATACACACACACACACACACACACACACACACACACACACACACAATTATTTATACTGGGCCAGACACTGGTGGTCCATTCCTTTAATCCTAGCTACTCAAGAAGCTGAGATATGGGGATCGCAGTTCAAAGTCAGTCTGGGCAAGAAAGTACATGAGACTCTTATCTATAATTAACCACCAAAAAGCCAGAAATGGAACTATTGCTGAAGTGGTAGAGTCCTAGTCTTGAGCAAAAATCCCAGTAACAGTGCCCAGGCCCTGATTCAGGGTGGAAAAAAAGGTAAAAACTAAATAGATTTTTAAAAATAAAATAAAACACACCACACACACACACACACACACACACACACACACACACACACAGAGTCAGTCGGGCATGAAAAGAAAAAACATAGCTAGTTAAACATCTATTAAATAAAATAGAATATATAAATTATGTCAAAACTTATGGCAATGTGAAATTCTCAATCATAATCCTCAATAGCTATTTCTGTTTTTATCCAATAGCCTCGCTCCTTCTGCTAATGTTATTTTTTCAAAGACTGCGAATATGAACTGTAAATAATAATTTGTGCCCAAAAATAGTAGCTTTATTGCTTAATTTCTGTTTCCACTTGAATTTCACTGGATAGGAAACAAAACTGGAATCTAATGCTCATTATTCCTTGGTTTCTGAGAACTAAAAAGGTATAATAGTAAATTAGTGCAAGTTACGTTGATAACACTGTAATACAAAACAGAAAACTTACCTTGCAAAGGCAAGATCTTTACTCCAAATTCTTCAAGACATCCAAGTGCCTGGATGAGGTCAAGCTCCTCCTGAATGGCAGAGGGTCTATCTGTTATCAGCTGTAAACAGCACCTAAAAGAAAGTAGACATGCTTTTCATTTTTAGTTTAAAGATTAGTTGCCCAAAACTCCCTCCACATTGTTTTACTTCTAAATTTTGTTTGTTTGGGTTCTTTTGTTGTTTTCATCATTGTTTTGTTATGCTGTTAGCAGTGCTTGAACTCTGGGCCTTGTATTCTCACTCAGCTTTTTCACTCACAGTTGGACTCTACCACTTGAGCCATGTCTCTAGCCCCATACATATTTTGTAAAAGATGGCTCAGTGCAAGTGGCTCACACCCATAATCTTAGCTTCCAGGCGCTGGATACCAGTTCAAGGCCAGGCTAGACAGGACACTCAGGTTCAACCAATAAAAAAGCATGGCGACATGAGTCTATCATCCTATCAATGCAAGAAGTGTAAAGAGCATTGCAGCCTAAGATATCCCAGGCATAAAGGTAAGACTCGAAAAATAAATAAAGCAAAAAAGGGTGAGAGTCATGGTTCAAGTGGTAAGAAACCTGTGTAGCAAACACAAGGCCCTGAGTTCAAAGCAAACATGTTCAATCAAGTTAACCTCCTTTATTGACCAACAGAGGATCAAACAAATATTACTAAGAATCCACTACATTCCAGACATTGGGCCTGCCAGATGTTTTCTTTGACCTTCATTCTCACACTAAACCCACATGGGAGGCAAATATCAACATATGCTTTAAGAGGGAAAAGCTGGCTAAGAGGCCAAGTGATTTGGCCATGAATACACTGACATTACTAATGGCATCATGACATGAAGCACCATAATTCTTTCTAGCATTCTTCCACTCATGAAAAACAAGGTAATGATTATATCAGACAGGACACTTTTTAAAGCGGGAATTCAAGTAATTCCAGGTTTCCTTCTAGAACAAATAAGAATGTTATAACTTTGTACTTCAGAAGAAATGACTTATAAAAAATACACAACAAACATTTTTTTCTAATTGAAGAAAACAAAGTATCCATTGGTAATACAGGGCTAAGATAAACTACAGGCTACAGTGGTTTGCTAAACTAAGAATGTGTAATATTCATGGACTGTTTCACTTTGCTTTATTTTGAAATAGGTCTCACTATGTTGTCCTAGGAGGATTAAAATTCAGGCTCAAGTGATCCCCCTGCCTCTACCTCCTGAGTAGTTGCAATTGCAAGCACGCATCACCATGCAGAGCTCCATGCAATAGCTTAGATAAAATTTTTTAAAATTTAGAGAACGTATTCTTCAGAAAAGTTTTATTCAGTAAATGACCTTATTACCTGAAAGGAATGTGCAAAGTAACACTGGATGACAGGAGCAGAAAAGACAAATTGTCATCAGGCCACAGAGAGTTCAGACACCAAGTCCAGCATCGATGTGACCAGGCATGTAAATTTGTGGGAATTTAATCAATTGAGCACTCACATATATTGTTGTCTTCAGTGTAAAATATCCACAAGTTTTGGTGGTTTCTGTCTAAATTTTAAAGACACTCAAAAGCGGAACCCATAACTCCAGCCAAGGGCACTTATTCTACAGACTGGCTCACCCATGGTCAGTCATACTGTTATAGTGGTTCACTATCAGGTTGTTTAAGAAAGGAAAGAAAATACAACAATTTTGAACTATATTCTATGAAAGGCAAGCAATGGAATAGTTTATAACTATCAAAAAAAGTATGCAATACCTGTGTGTACTCATATGGTAAAACATGTAATATAGAACATCAATTTAAAAAGCAAGGTATATCATTAGTAAGAACTTACAGCCCAGACAGAAAAGTTCATGAGACTCTTATCTCCAATTAACCACACACAAAAAAAAAAAAAACAGTCACTCAAAAGGTAGAGTGACATCCTTCAGCAAAAGGAGTTCGAGTCTCAGTACTGGTACACGCACACACACGCGCGCAAACGCAAACACACACACACACACACAGCTGGGGAATAAAGGAAGGGAAGCAGAATGAGGAGGAAATTCCCTTTGTGCTGTGCTGTTTGGATGTTTACTGCTTTTTCCTCAATAAAAGTACTAACAATCTAGGCACCAGTGGCTCATGCCTATAATCCTGACTACTCAGGAGGCAGAGACCTGAGGATTGTGGTTCAAAGCCAGCCTGGGTAGGAAAGCCCATTGAGACTCCTATCTCCAATAAACTACCAAAAAAAAAAAAAAAGCTGGAAGTGAAGCTATGGGCTCAAGTGGCAGAGCACTAGCTTAGGAAAATCAGGTTTCAGGACAACGCCCAGGCCCTCAGTTCAAGCCCCAAGACTAGCAAAAACAACAACAAAAACCCTAACTAACTGAACACTAACTAAACACACTAAATTCATCTATAAAAATGCATGGGATATTATCCATGCTGCCATATCTGTAAATATTGTGCTACATTTGGATTCACAGTTCACAGTAAGCTCACAAATCCATATATATGTACATGTCATCTGCTTAAAATTGAGGTGCATCCTTGTGGGAGAGAAGGGGAGTAATGGACAAGAAATTCTATCTATAATGATAGCCTTTAAAATGCTCGCTGAGAAACACCTGCCACAAAGGTTTAGTTCAAACACAATTCCCAGTTTCAAAGGTCATTTGATTTTGACATTTTCATCATCTGAAACAAAAATAAAATCCTTTAGGGAAAGATAAGTAAAGACATAGTTAACTACCTTAAACAGTTTTGTCAAGTTCAATAACCTAGTCGGAGAAAATGATGCTTTCTGAGAGAAGGCATCACAGCGGGGGGAAAAAGCAATTGTTCACTTTTGATAAAGTTGAGATAAGAACTAGTCACCTAGAAGAAGAAACATGTATCTAGATGGTTACTATAATTATTGTCTCAAAAAAATACCAAATAAACATGAAATTTAAAGGCAAAAAGTTGCTGGTTCATACATTAGAAAGATATTTTGTCGTTTGCAAAGAAATGAAAGGACCTGAAAAAAAATCATGTCACATGAAGTCAGGCCCGAGAGACAAAGGGTGCGTGTTTCCCTCCTATGTGGAGCCTACAATAATTTATAAATACATACGTAAACACTTCAGGATAGTACCCAGGATATATCAGTATATTAGCTAAAATATGATCGATTAAAGAGAGAACTCAAACGATGTAATTCCTTAGAAAGGCTAATTCACAGTTCAACAACATAAACTCCAGGAAATGAATACTCAAAAAACCGGGGGTTGGATCAAGAAGGTTGAGAGACAACAATGGAAGGATTGACATTAAGATACTCCTAACGTGTACTCTCAAAGTGGCAGGGTGAACAGAAGCTCCTCTGTAGTATAACTACTTAAAGATAATTAAAAAAAATAAAATTATTGGTATAAAAATAACAAACAGATAAGTCACCATTAAACGGAACATAAAGTTTGTTGTTGTTAACTAGGAAGTAGATATTTCATTATAATAAAAAAAGAACCAATTCAAAAAACTTTCCTGAAGCTTTTAAGGTTCCTTAAACAAAGGATCACTTAATACAGAGGTAATAAGTAAAAAAAAAATCAGTGTAATTGTGAAGAACTACAAAAGCTCAGAACTGAGTATACCTTCTGAGTAAATCACATAAGAGGAGTAGAAATACAATAGGCCAGGAAAGGGAATAAATTTATAACCTAGAACTTGCTAACAGGAAGGGACTCTGGAATTTTATCACCTAATCAGGGCCCCTGCTTCTAAACAGCCAGATGCTGCTGCAATGGAGACAGGGCCCAATACATGCAGAAACCAGAGTTTGAATTTATAGGTGAGCCATGAGTATCTTCTAACTAAAGGGACACACAGATTTTCCAGTAGGTAGTAAAACTCACTTAGCAGAAAACACGTCGGAGGAAAAGGGTCAAGAAGTTAATGGATATTCATCATTCATTAGCTTTCTTACTATATTCAAGCAACAAATAACTGAGCCCCATTCAGTGTTGTACTTGAGGTAACCTGTGGTTTGGGTAAAGAATAGCCCTACAGTGAAGTCTGTGCATCCTGACTCTTCCCTCTGATGGAAGAACATGGAGTCACCTACCTGGCCAGATCCATGCAACTGTCAGTGAGGTTGGTGGATGAGTTGAAGTACTCTCTGCTGGCAGCCAAGACCAAGTCAATGCTTTTGTGGTAACTGACCCTGTACTGAGGCCTTCCTTTATGGGATGCAATAGCGGGAAGATTTGCTGAACAGGCAGTGTGTTGCATCATCTGTCCTGCCAGGTGGATGTTTTCAAGGCGACTGGAGCACAGAAGGCTTTCAGTAAATATCTGGGGAAAAAAATAAGAAGCTGGAATTAATGATTGAAGAAAGACTCAGTTGTCAACAAAAAAAAAGATTCTGAAATCCAACAAAAATAAATTAAAAATGCATCCAAGCGCAGCTGGTTGCATAATTGTAAACATACTAAATCACCATGAGTTGATAGATATCTAAGTTTATATTACATGATTCTGACCTCATTAAAAAAAATCTGACCTTTTCTGCTTGACTCAGACATATATTAGTTAAATCCCATTCAAAAGGGAGGGAAAATGGTGGATTTGATGTCAGGTAACAAAGGAAACCATAATCTGAAGAGACAAAGAAGGAAGAGTACCAGGAATCAAGAAAGGGGAGGGGGAAAAAAAAACAAAAAACAGAAAAATCACCGAACAGTCTGCAAGCCCAGTCCAGACTCCCAAGGAGAGGGAAGAAAAACCTGAAGACCTAGTGAGAAGGAAGCACAAAAGACCTTGGCGCTTGACAGGCAATTCCAGATCCCACCCTCCTGGAAGCCTGAGCTATCTTAGCACCTTAATCCTCCTAATCTTAGCATCCTCAGTAGCTAAGATTACAAGGCCACCAGTACTCAGTTTCACAACTATTCATTTTCAATCATCTATACAAATGCTTGTTTACTAAAATCACAAAGCTAAGTAATTTTACAAAATGAAGAGTTAATTTTTATAATTTTTACTTCATCAGTAAGTCAGGAGAAATGAAAACAAGAAATGCCCTATATATTGTTTTATGTTTGGCTTGACAAGAAAATTCAAAAAACTTTTTTTTTTTTGGGTCCGGTCGTGGGGCCTGAACTCTGGGCCTGGGAGCTGTCCCTCAGCTCTTCAGCTCAAGGCTAGCACTCTACCACTTGAGCCAGTGCCACTTCCAGCTTTTTTTTTTTGCTTATGTGGTGCTGAGGAATCGAACCCAGGGCCTCAGGCATGCAAGGCAAGCGCTCTACCACTGAGCCACCTTCCTAGCCCCTCAAAACACTTTTTACACTGCATCCCAATAAAAATGAGTTAAGTTTGATCAGTTTCCCATTATATGGAAAACTTATGATTACCATGCGTAATCATAAGTAACATACTACCTTCCAAAATGATTAGCAAATACCACTGAATTATTCCTTTAGTCAAATGACAACTATTTTGTAAGTCTCTTTAATATCTCAAACAGTAGGATATGCACTGTGGGCATGAGGACAGACATGAAGCAGCTCATGATCAAACTAAAGAAACAACTAGGTTTTAAGGAAAGTCTTTAGTAAAAGACTTAGTAAAGATCCTCCTTTTAGAAAAAGGAGGATGTCTTAGGAGGTACATCTTATAGAGATCTTTCCAAGTAAGATCAAGAGGAATACATTCTAACCAAAGAGAATATATGCAAGCAAAGTCACAGAAACAGGCAAAAACACAGGAAGAAAAATTAATTCAAGCCAGATGGGATGGAGAGACTGGAATATAAATAATACTACAGAGACTGACAAGGCAGGGAGTGGGCAAGAAGGCTGCAATCCATTGTGGGTTTCCAAACACAAGCACAGGTACTTTGTGGGAAATACAGAATAAGCAAGGAATGTTCAGAAGAAGATCACCAGGAAAAGTTTACTGTTAGACGATGGTGGCTCAAGCCTCTAATACTAGATAGTAGAGACTGAGATCTGAGGTTAATGGATCAAGCCAGCAGGGGCAGAAAAGTCCTAGAGACTCTTTTGTCCAATTAACCCATGAGAAAGCTGGGATTGAAGGTGTGGCTCAAGTAGTAGAACTCCAACCTTGAGCAAAAAAGCCAAGTGAGAGCATGAGGCCTTAAGGTTAAGCTCAAGTGCCAGTACAAGGAAAAAAAAATGATAAGAAGAAAAATGGCTTTAGAATACTTTGGGTACAAAGAAAAAAAAAGATATACAGACACAGAAAAACAAAACATGGTTCTATTTAGCAGAGATGAAGACAGGTAGGAGAAACATGGAATGCTTTTCAAATAAAATTAATAAGCTTTGGTGTTATTTTAGGGATTTTGTTTGCTTTAGCTGAGTACTAAACTCAGGGCTCTGCATAGAGTTAAACATACACTCTCCCACTGAGCTACACCCCAACCATTAGCTGTATTTTAGTGTCCACCAAAACTGTAGAAATGAGAGAAGTTGTACAGTGTCAAGCACTATCTGAGAATTAATCCACTAAATGGATGGCATTGTAAAAAATAAAGAAGATAGAGGGTAAGTATGAAAGTGACAAAACAGTCAAACACTAGCCACTTCTCAGCTATCATCTGATCACAATGTGACTTTCAGGGCAGCTTATGACCATCTCTCCTGTGGTTAGTGAAGTACCACAACCCACATCTCTAAGGGAGGAAGAAACATGTAGACTTGTATTTACCTCATAACAAGCATCCGCGTCTAGGCATGTGTACACGTTCTCCTGCATAGTTAACATGTCCTGCAGCAATGTTCTCCAGTGAGACTCACTGACAGGAGGCTGTCTGGAGGGAGGAGAAAAGAAAAAAAAAATTTAAGCTATTTTTCTTTAATTCAACAAAAAATGGAGAACACTAAACACTAACACTATCTATTGTTCTCCACACGATATTGGCCCCACGTGACTGGCAGGAATTTATCTCCAGCTCATTTGAGTTTCCAGGACAAAATCTGGGTTGAAGATGGAAGGAAAGTTGGGCAGCCGCATGTGCATCTATGTAAGAGGTACCACAAAACAAGCCTCTGAATTGGCTGCTTAGACTCAAACTTAAAGCAGCATTAGCCATTAGAGGCAAAGAAAAACAAGCTGTAGGGGTCAATGGTAAAAAAAAAAAAAAAAAAAGCCCAGGTAAGGTGAAGCAGAGAAGGCCAGCCTCCTGCACCAGCCTCCCAAGTTGCTGGGATGGCAGACACATGCAACCACACCCAGACTGTAAAATTTTTAATAAGCCTGTGCTTCATTGGCTATGGAATTTTGTATTTGTCACACAAAATGATCAATTACTCTTGTTCCAAATGCAATAAGGCACTGGGGAACAGTTTTGTCTCTACACAAATATAGCAATCAGAATATTTGCTGGTATGCCAGGATGATCCATGACATGTTTCTATCTGTTTGACCTTGGCACCTGCATTCCTCTGAAGGGCTCTTTCAGATTGGGTGTGCAGGTAGAGATGAGACGATGTGCTGAAGCAAGTGTCCCTGTCACAGCAGCTCAGGACCATCTGTGCCCGGCCCTGTGTGGCATCACTCAGTCTCACAGCCAGCTTATGGCTCTGCAAGCCAGCTTATGTTCTGGGACAGATGGCTTTAGCATTTCCTCACACATGGCTAGCCATAAGTGGGGTTCTAATTAAAATTAATTACAAGACATTATTTATAATAGCCTTCTTCAGAAAACATTCAATAAGTAAGAACCAATGAGAGATTTTGAAGAAAGAAGAGGTTTACAAATCAACACAGATTCCTGAAGACAAATACAGTCATAAGTTGCAGTGCTGGAAAGAAGGTGGATTTCTCATGGAGAAATGGGATTGTATTCAAGATGGTAAAGCCTGGGTTCATGACAGATGATGAGATCTACCAGGTTTCAAATATGAACAAGACTATTCCAGAGATACAAAAGCCCAAGACTTGGTAACGTACATAAAATAGTCAAGATGTGTTTCAAGGAGACCATATTGAAAGCAGCCATATTTCTGCAAATAGTCACTGTAAGCAAATCACCATGAGGAGAGATTTACCACAGGGACTACACAAGTATGTAAGCAAGGAAGGATGGAAGGTGGCCTCAGTAACTGCAAAGCTTTCTTATCAAAGAGCAGTTCTAGAACAGGCAGCACAATATTGCAAATGTCTACTCTCTGTAGTTAAAAAGAAAGTGTAAGACTTAAATCATCAACACTATGTGGGCACAGTGGCCCACTCAATCCTGTTACCTGGAAGGCAGATATTGGAGGACTTCAGTTTGTGGCCAGCTCAGGCAAAAAGTCGGCAAGATCTAAATCTCAACCAATAAGCCAAATGTACTGATGCACAACTCAATTCCAGCTATATAAGAGGCATAAGTAAAAGTATCACAGGTTGAGACCAGCCAAGGCAAAAATGCAAGACAGTATCTAAAAAACTGAAGCAAAAAGGATGGGGACAGGGACTAAATAGTAGAGTACCTGCTCAGCAAAGCCTTATAAGACTCTGTGTTCAAGGCATAGTAGTGATGTCTTTGACATCATTTAGTAATTACTGGCCCCTGATATGTAGTTTCTCATTTGAGGTCTATCATGCTTAACACATGTCAGGAGGGAATTACAACTTAGAAGGTAACTTACCATTGTGTTATAAGAGTTAAGGACAGAGACAAGACAAGAATAAAATGCTAGGGAGTGTCCCAAGAGAAAGAATCACAATCTACACAAAGGAGTCAGCAGCATTTCCATGCACACAACAAAGTGTTTAGGGAGGAGAAAAATACAGGATACTGTGATATCAGTATCAGATTTGCAAGTTTTTAATGTTCAAATGAATCTGTACTCCATAATCTAAAAACAGGCAATGCAATCTTTCTTCCTGTGAGCCTGGTCTTTCAGGATTAGGGTTGTGCTGGGTTATCTTGGTCTTATTTACATTTTTTCAGTTTCCCTAAATGGCACATTGAAGGCTAGAGCATTAGTTTGAGGGAAAAAAAGCTCAGCGACAACACCAAGGATCTGAGTTCAAGCCTCAAGCCAGAAGAAAAAAAGAGAAAGAAAGAAAGAAAGAAAGGGAGAGAGAAAGAGAAAGAGAGAGAAAGAGAAAGAGAGAGAAAGAAAGAAAGAAAGAAAGAAGAGAGAAAGAAAGAAAGAGAGAGAGAGAGAAAGGAGGGAGGGAGGGAAGGAAGGAAGGAACGAATGAACGAACGAATGAACAAACAAACGAAATTGAAGTCAGCAGCAAATAACTTTATTTCAAGACTTAGAGATCTGTAATAACCAATAAACTATGGTATTGGAGAATGAAAGAATAATGGAACGGCATTAAAACATTTAAAAATAAGCCCTCATGTATATGGATTACTGATTTTCAACAAAGTTATAAAGGCAATTCCATAGAAAAAAGTGTGCAACTGTCTAGACATGAAAAACATTACTTATCCTGACAACAATAAGCAGAAAGAAAATCAAAATGAATCATAAACCTAATTATAAATGGGAAAGTAGAAATTTTGCTTAGAATTAAAACTGTGTGGCAATATTTCTTAGATATATTAACAAAAGCACACTCACAAGAGAATAAATTGGTTTTTAAAAATTAATTTTTAAGCATACTTTTCAAAAGACATGGAGAGAATGAAAAGACAAGGCTCAAATGGGAGAAAATGGTTGCCAAGAACAAAGAACACAAAAGCAAACTCTCAAACTTAATAAGAAAACAATTCAGATCGGCAAAGGATGTAATGCTGAGGACAAATGAGGACATGAACAGGTGCTAAACTCTAATTCATTAGAGAGATGCTATTAAAACCAAAGCCAGGTAATATTACATACCTTTAAGACAGCTAAACTAAAGACCTACTGCAATACTCTTTTGCTAAGGCTGTAGAGAAAAGGAAACTGTCTACAAGACTGGCCAAATAGTTAAATAGTGCAAATATTTTTGAAAACAGTAGGCCTGGTTTTTTGTGACTCTGAGAGTTAAACCCAGGGCCATGTACTTACTAAGCAGATGATCTACCACTTGAGCCATACACTCAGCCCTTTGCATCTTCCTCCTTTTTTACAACAGGTTCTCATGTGTATTTTTCAGGGTGGCCTGAACCACAGTCTATTGACAGGCATGGTGGCCACCACCATATCAGTTACCAATTGAGATGAGGTCTTGCCTTTATGGCCAGTTTAGCCTCTAACTATGATCCTCCCTGTCTCTGCCTCCTGAGTAGCTAAGAGTACATATGTGAGCAACCAGTACCCAGTTATTGTTTTTTAAAGTTAACCAACCATTATATGACCCTAATTCCATTTTTAGTTATTCATCCAAGAGAAATTAAAGCATGTATCTCTATAAAAACATATAAATGAATAATCAAAACAGCTATATTTTAAAGCCAAAACCTAAAACAATTCAAATGTTTATAAACAAGTGAGTAGATAGAAGTGAGATAAATTCATAAAATAAATACCACTCAGCAAATAAAACAAATACTGATCTATGATACAACATTAATGAATCACAAATAATTTTGCTAAGTAAAAACAGCAAAATGCTGTATAACTTATTTATAGTACATTCTAGGAAATATGTAGGAATCTACAAAGGGGCAGGAGGGAGATCAGTGGTAGCCTGGAATGGTTGGGAGACTGATGAGGAGAAGTTAGAGGGAAGGACCTAGAAGAACCAAGACATGCTGTTACTATGATTCATGCAGAGATGACTTGGTGAGGAAAAAGATCAAAGCTTAAGCAAGTATAGAGATTTTACTTTGTGTCGTTCACTACAGATCCATTACCTCATTAAAATTATCAAAAGAAGAAAAGAAGCAAAAAAATCACAGGCAAATATCAATGTTACCACTCACTTCCGGCCTGTGTGTCTCGTCAATCTAACCATCAGCTTCCGAGCCTCTTCGAAGCTAGACTGAGTGTTTTTAACAAATGAAATTGGTTTCTCAAGTCCATGTTTTTCCAAAAGCTCTGACACACTGTAAGTGAAAGAATGATTTAAAATCTTGCTGCCAAACAAAAAAAGAATCTAAAGCACATAAATAACACATAACTTTATTTTTTAAATCCTCACATAGTAAGACCCAATATTACATACCATGATTACATAATAAGTCTCAATACTAACTTCTACTAGAATACATCTGGACTAAATATTTTTTTTAAAGAATGACCAATATCTTTATCTCACACATTTTTGCAATTTCCCTCTAATCCAAAAGTACCAGGTCAGTACAATAAGCCAAATGTAAAATTCAATACCCAGTTTTAACTCTTGGCAAATCTCCCTGAGTATCCAGACAAGGATGCCAGAAAAACAATAAACAGAGGGCTTGGTAATGCCTCAATCAAGCCTAATCTCCCTACCGAATCATCTCATAAAAATGTAAGTTTTTATCAGTAATCTTTTGTATCAAATGAACTTCTTTAGCTATCACATTCCACACTCCTCCTATACATACTGATCTGTCTCGTCAAGTTTATCATTTATGATACTGTTAGACATGTATGGCTGGATACCATACAATTCAGTATGTCTCCACAGTATGTACATTAAAACATTTGGCATAAAGTGACTACCAGAACCAACGCTGGCCACACCCACAAAGATGTGAAATAAATTATGCTATTTCACTGAGGTAGTCTTCTTGGTTTTATGAGGAAAACAAAGGTAACTGCAGATCTGTATGGAATAAGCCTGTTTAACAAAAAGTTTTAGTGAAACTTTGATGAATTTTTCAGGGAAGATGAGGGGGAGGAAGGACAAGCCAACTCACAATAGGAAACGTTTGATTTACTACACTGCTTTCGATAAACTAAACACAACTGTGTATCTTCCAAACATAGATTACTAAGAATTGGGCTAAAAAGTAGAGGTTTTACAACGAAAAAGTTAATTCTTCACTACATTCATATGTTATGGTACACAGAGACATTCTGTTTCTTTAAATGCAATATAAAAATTTTAACATTAAAATCCTAATTTAAGTAATAAAATTTTGGTTACTAGATTCCAGATTATGTTTGACTAGATATACAACCTTTACCTGTGATATTGATATTTATAATTTATTTAATTACATTTTAAAGTTTGTTATTCTTACATTTTTACTGATAACATAATATTTATCAGCATTATTTATATGCCCACTGAAAACAGCTACTAGTAAACATTAGACTTCTAAATGGCAAATTCAGAAAACTTTGACAGGTTCAAAGGTTGCTAAGCTATTAAGTACCAGTGTTTTGAAAGCCAACGTTATTAGTCTACCATTCTGCTATAATCAGGTGGCAATGGCTTTATGAGAGAGAAAACTCACTCAAAAATGTCAAATAAATAGGAAGTGAACCTGGGAACAACTAATAGGCAGATTTAAAGGGAACATTAATTAGAATCCTCCTCCCCATTCATACTGAACCAAAGACTACCCTCTTTCTCACCTTAGAATCTTTTCCAGTTGGTCTACCATATCATGGAGAGTAGTAGTTATGTCTGTCTTAAGACTAAAGAAATGAAAGAATAAAAATTAAAATTAAGTTTTAGTAGTGGGTTTTTAATACAAAATAAACTCAATTTGTGGAAGAAATGGTATCTCTCATACTTAATCTCTAACAATATGACACAGTCCAAGGAAAGTTTTAGGCTTGTGTTGTCAGTTTTTAGGACCCTATAAGGTTAAGGTTAAAAACACTAGAGTAGAACAGCATTCTCTACAACAGATTAGCCAGATACCAACAACTATTTTTCTAAAGTACTTTGGTTTCAATTTGCTTCAAGGTATGACAGAACTGCAAATCAGTTACTAGACTTTTTTTTCTTGTGTGTATATATATGTATGTGTGCATGCATGCGCCGTGCACTTGCATGCATGCGCATGCACACACTATACTGAGGCTTGAGGCCAGGTTCTTGTTCTTGCTCTGCTTTTTTTTTTTTTTTGGTTGGTCATGGGGCTTGAACTCTGGGCCTGGGTGCTGTCCCTCAGCTCTTCAGCTCAAAGCAAGCGCTATGCAACTTGAGCTACAGTGCCACTTCCGGTTTTCTAGTGGTTTATTGGAGATAGGAGTCTCATGGTCTTTCCTGCCCAAGCTGGCTTTGAACCCTGATCCTCAGATCTCAGCCTCCTGATTAGCTAGGATTAAAGGCGTGAGCCACCGGCACCCGGCTCTTGCTCTGCTTTTTACCACCACGGCTGGCACTGTACCCCTCGAGCCACATCTCCAGTTCCAGTTACTGGCTTTCTCAAAATAAGAGGTAAGAGGTAAAACAACTATCACTGTTGAACCAATCAAACAGATTGGGAAGACTGCCCTGCATGCTGGCCTTCTCCTAGAACTGCCCACATGCCCGGAAGTTGTACGTTTCCATGAGGATTCTAGTACTCAGGAAGCTCTTCCACACAATCACTCCCTAGGCATCAGGGACTCACATCTACCTCAGCAAGAAGGCCTAGGGAGATAACGATCTGTCACACCATCTCATAGGCTAAAAGCAACCCCTTTCAAAGAAAGCTGGTGGGCAGGGAAGTAGGACCAACATTATCATGAAAGTAGGCAACAAATACAGTTGTTTACTAAAGCCTGACACTACTGGGTTCACACATTAATAGCATGTCTCTTTAAACTCTTGTATTTTACAATAGTACCTTTCAACAATTTGCTTTATACTAAATGACAGTAATTTTCCATAGAAAAAGATCAGTTGACCTATAAAATTCTGGGCCATCTTCTGTATTTGTCTGTTTCCATTATGGTATTAAGTTGTTCTTCTATTTCCTATATTAACTGTATGGGCTGGGAATGTAGCTCAGTGTCTGCAAACAACAGATTTTATTCCTCTTCCTCTCTCCTCTTCCTCCTTCTCTTTCTGCTCTTCTCTTCTTTTCCTTTTATGATGCTAGGAATCAAGCCAAATCTTGCCTAACATGCACAAGGCCCTGGGTTTAATCTCCAGAAAACAACTTCAGTAGCAATGGTAGAAATCGAGCCTAGAGGAGTGATTAGATTCGGGGCAGCAGGGGGAGCTTGTCTTCTCAGTGCCATGACCCAGGCGCTCTGTGCTGCACTACAGTGGGAGGCGTGGCCGGCTGCTGACAGGTGAGGCTAGGCGTGGGAACATGCAGAAGACCACGGAAGTCCAACCTTGACTGGAAAAGATAAGTAAGTGCTAGGATAGGACTCTGCCACTGTACAAATACCCTTTTCCTATTAACCTTGAACTGTGAGTATGTCTGTTTGAATAATTATTCCACAGCGGACTGTAAAACTGGTTCATTAGAAAATAAAGATTGCCTTCACATGAGAAGCAAGAGAAGACACAAGAAAAAGAAAAAGAGCAAAGGGAAAAAGAAAACTGAAAGTAAGGAGGGACTTCTTCTCTAAACATCTGATTGAACAAATGAAGAAATTGGAGACAAATTGAGCAACGTGGCTGATAACACTGGATTGGACCAGTCCACGGACTTCCCATTCAGTGCTCCTTCAAGGCTCCTCTCCAAAGGGGAAATTTATAGGATGTACCAGATTTCAAAGCAAGCTCAAAGGAAAATGACTGCTACCTGACCCTGCATGTAACTTAGTAAGCCAAAAGCATATCCTATAAATTTCTAATTAAACATAAAAGTACTTTTAAAATCATATGCATTCATCTATCAGTACTTCATTATAGGGAAGGATATCATACAGCCAGATATGTGGCTCTATGGTACTTGTCTAATATGTGTAAGGCTCCGACACTTCAATATATCAATAAATGAGTACATGAATGAATGTAACTATAGACTACAGGGCTTCAGATCTTATTTTATTTTGGGTTTTTTTGTTTGCTTGTTCATTGTAGTTCTACAGATCAAACTCAAGGCCTCAGGTATGTTAGGGAAATACTCTACCAGTGAACTATAACCCCCAACTGCACTGTCAATGAACATCTGGAAAAGCAGTATTTTTATTTAAGTGTTAGAATAATGGACACAGTGAGATTAATCTACTCCTATCTACTATATATCTCACCCATATCCCCGTTGTGGCAGACATTCTAAGATGTCGTAACAGAGAGAGAGCTGGTCATTCCGTTCACAGTTATAGATGCACTCTAGTGCTACTGCCATCAGCTGGTCCTGATCTGGAATAATTTTTTGCTGCAGCTAGAGAAAATAAAGCATGTATTAAACATCAATAGATTTACAGTCAGCTATCACATAGCCCAGAACCATGTCACCAGAATATTAAACAGTGCAATTAATAAGCTGTGGAAACAAATCTTGATTGTTCTTTAGCTTACAGACTTTTGGAGTATTTAATAATTCTAAATGAAATCACATTTTAATTAGAGAATCAGCCAAAAAACGTAACTTGTAACCCATAAGCTATGCCATCTGCTACAAACAAACTCTTCAATTTATGACCCATAAGATAAAGTAGAAAGGAAAATCACAGTGAATTAAAAACACTATTCATTAAAAATAACATCAAAAATCACCTTACAGCTAAATTCGGTGTTTCAATTACAAAATACATATAACTCCTTAACTAATGGTCAAAAATATTAGAAACTATTATTTGTTCAGTATACACTATCTATTATTCATTTAACTACAAAGTATTTCTAAGAAAGAACAACTGTAATGTAATAATACACAAGCCACAGAACACACAATTTCTGATGAAAATGGCTGCTTTGGGCTACTTTCTAAATAAAATACTTATTTCCCATTGCACAGATTCCTACTCTTGAAGTATTTTTCTGAGATACAAAAATAACCAATTGATACCTTATTTTTCTAATCTACAAGACCAAGACATTAACAATGTTTTCCTAAGAAGACTGTCATGAGGAGTAAATAATTAATACATGAGTATAAAGTCTGAAAGTTATTTCTTAAAGCTGTTTTTGACAGCAAAGTAAGTTTAAGATAATTTCTATAACAATGATCTACTTCATTTTAATAGACATTTGTCAATATGCACAAATAGAAAAGTGACAGGAAATATGCCTAACAAAGACATTTTCTTAGTAGAAAATAATCAAATCCATAAATTTAAAAAATATTCTTAAGGTTACCAGGGAAATAAAGCTTTCTGAAGCAGTTGACCTTCTTAAAGCAGTTATATAAATGTCTTCAAGGTATTAAGAAAAACATAATGCCATTAGTTTAGCACTGACATTTTTACAAAGATCTATCCGATATTCAAAGTGACTAGTGGGTAAAATAAACATAAGCAAGGCAGAATAAAAATGAACACTATTAGAAATTAGTTTTTTTAAAAAAAATTTAGGGAGGGATAGTAAGGGAAAAACAAAGGAGGGGTAACAATGCTCAAAAGGAAATGTACTCATTACTTTATTTATGTAACTGTAATCCCCTCTGGTACAGTATCTTAACAATAAAAAAGTACATCTTCTGAAAAGTCCCTATTTAGCTTATTTGCCAGTTAATTAGGTTGTTTATTCTTTCAAGACTTAATTTCTTTAACTCTCTGTATATTTTAGGTATCAGGCCTCTGTTTCATGTGTAGCTGGCCAAGATCTCCCATACTGTAGGCTTGAGGCACTGACAGTTCAAATGCTGTGCTCAAAATAACAGTAAATGTCCAGTCCACTGTCTGCAGAGTCTAAATCAGGCAACCCAGGCTTTGGACATTCCACAAAGGCTCCAGCTACATAAAGACTAGAAGAGATTGGGAGGAATCGCAGCAATAAAGAAAAAGGATGAAAACACTGAGTTTCATGAGGACAGCTTGGAAACCATTTGAAACAGAAAACAAAATCCTGATGTCTTATGTGATCTCCTCCTTTGTAGCTTATCCTCCAAGACATTAAGAAGTTACTTTAGAGTTCAATGTCCTGCAGTTTGTACTTGATTATATATACCCCAAACCTTACGTGGAAAACCTTACAAATACCCTCCTGCCAATCTAATTTTGGTTTTTGGTGGTTTTTTTTTCTTCTTGGGTTTTTGGTTTTTGTTTTTTTCTGCCAAGCTTGGGGCTGAACTTTGGGTCTGGGCGCTGTCCCTGAGCTTCTTTTGCTCAAGGCAAATGCTCTACCACTTGAGCCACAGCACCACTCCCAGCTTTTTTGAGTAGTTTGTTAGAGATGAGTCTCACAGAGTTTCCTGCCCATGCTGGTTTCTAACTGCAATACTCAGATCTAATCCTGCTGAGTAGCTAGGATTACAGGCATGAGCTACCAGTACCCAGCTGGTTTTTTATTTTTTAATTCTATTTAAGTCGGGATCTTGCTGTGATGCCCAGGTTAGACTCTAGCATTTCAAGCAATATTTCTGCCTCAGCCTCTTAAGCAACTGGAACAAGAAGTGCCCACAACCATGCCTCCTTCGACTCACACTTTTATCCCACGATTTACTTCATCTATACAAAGTTTTATTTTACAGAAATTAAATTACATTTACTACTCAACATATGTAGAAAATGATTCCAGGACCTTGAAGATACCAATATCCATAGAAGCTAAACCACACCATACATGAAACTTTCTGTTGTTAAGTAGTAAGATTTAGAAATGTATTTGTTAGTATAGTATGACATAGTAGTCTAAGCTATATGATAGAGACATCATGGTTTCCGTTATATTATTAAATATAATGTGCATGATTTGTCACAGATCAAAAGTATATTCTTTTTGAAAATGAGTGATATATAATCAATGTTCCCAGTAAAACCTAGTAAAGCAAATAAATGTAAACAAAAGATGCTAAGTACCATGAGACCCAGTTTCATTCATTTATTCATTCATTCATTTTTCATGGCAAGACATACTGAATAAGTGTTCTCTGCTATCATCGTGCTAGTCTCTGGCAATGTGGATACCAATGAAATACAAATGAGATATGAAAATATATATATATATGTGTGTGTGTGTGTGTGTGTGTGTGTATGTGTGTGTATATATATCTATATAGATATATATACATGAAGCAAAGGAAAAGAGAAAATTGTAAACAAATTAAATCCAATGCACATTGATAAGGGCCATAATAAGAGTCAAGTACAAAACCCTGCTGAGGGGCATCTGCATTGATCCCATATCTTAACTATGGTAAACAATACTGCAAGGAACATGGTTGTTCTGGTAACTTTAGTATGGTCTTGTTTGTGGTCTATTGGATAAATTCCCAGGATTGGAATTACTGGGTCAAAGGGAAGCTCAGTATGGAGGAAATTCCAAAGTGCTTGAATAAGTTTATAGTCCCACCAATAGTGCAGCAGTGTTCCCTTTAGAAATTGTACCATTAATAAATGGAAAGAATTGGAAAAAATTACATTAAACACAGTAAATCAGACCCCAAAAAATATATGTTGCATGGTTTCCCTCAGTTGTGACAACTAGAAAATACCTATAAATCCACAAGTAAACACAGTGGATGGTAAAAGACAAAAAAAATACATTTGGACATAATAAATTATACATGACTTTAGACATTCACAAAGTGAGACCCAAGGAGGATATTCTTAGGAGAAGATAACAAAGATTCAATAGCTAGGGGCATATGATCATATAAAATGATGTTTATCAAAATGAACTCCAAGAACTCCTTGTTTATTTTTCTCCTTTGTCACTTTTTTATTTCTGTACCCCTGTCTTGCATGTAAGTTTATCTGTTATGGGGAGGATCAGGGGGAGCACAGAAATGATGGGACACAGTGTGAACAAATGCAGCAGTGATATTCATTACACACTATATTGAAAATGAACTTGTTGGGGATGGGGGATCAGAAGGGAAAAACAGAGAAGATGAGGGAGGAGATGACACTGTTCAAAAAGAAAAATACTCAATTCCTGACTTATGTAACTGTGACCTCTGTACATCACCTTTATACTAATATGATTTTTTTTAAATCATGAAAGAAAGAAAATGGAAACAAAAGCCCATCTAGGGCACTCTAGAGAGACCAACACTGACCAGGGGGCAGTGGTAAGCCCCTGGAAACCTTACCATAAATCACAACATGCTCAAATTCGTACTGCATGAAGATGATCCAGAGAGAAACAGGATATGTTAGAAAGAAGAGTGGAACAACTCTGTTCTCTCCTTCATGTTCACATATTTCAACCAAGGCAAATGGCTATATGTTTTATTCAAAGGTATATGCTAAATTGCCAAGTAAAAACAACAAAGAGTTGATTGTATACAAAGGATTTACAGGATTCTGCAAGGAAGATGTATATCAAACAAAATTACTACATAGAATTTAAAGTCACTTCCTTCTTCCTCATAAAACATTCATATGCAATCCATCCTGTTTCTCACCAAATACTCTGCTGCCATAAGCACTCTTTAGGCTCAAGGAAACCACCCAAATTCAACACCTCATACTAAGTGCAAAGTGATTATGAGAAAATGGAAATGTTTGAATAACCAATGAGAAGCTAAACTTCTGACAGATGATCCTTTTAGATGGGGGGGGGGAATGTCTAAAAGTTAGCAATTCTTTCCTGTTTTGACTCTACTGGTCTATAACCACATATCTTCATGGAGGTTGCATTAATAACAAAGGTGAGTATAAGAAAATTCTCCATCAAAATTTAAAACTGAAAGACCTAGATTACCTATAGCTTGCCCTCAGTCTGATGTTCTCAACATTACCGCAATCAGTGTTTCAAGTGGACTGAGCCATCCTGCTCAGTCCCTCCAATGAACTGGGAACTACAATTGCCTGAAACAGTGTGATATGGGCATGTTTGTGTGTTTACCTTCTAACTTGGAATTGCTAATTTAAGCTTGCCCATTAAGACTATTTATATTAATACTTAAGTAAAATTTGTTCTCAAAATATTTTACATTTTACAAACTGTCTTAAAATAGTTCTCAAAACATATCAGTTCAATTTACATACTGTCTTAAGATAAACATAATAACATAACTTCTAGCTTTCCTTACACTGGTGAAGGTGTGTTTGATCCATGGTTAAACGGTTTTAACAATGCCAAATATGGTTGTACTTAACAAAATGACTTTCAAATTTGTACTCTTTAGAAATACAAAGTAATACAGTACACTTATACAATGATAAGTTATTAGGAATAATTACAAGATACCCTTTTGAAAACCTAATGATTTTCATAAACTACTTAAAGGGCCTCAAGATAGAAACCTTCCTTGTTCTATAGGTGCCAGCATAAATACAATGACTTACCAGGCACCAGTGGCTTGTGCCTGCAATCCTAGCTACTCAGAAGGCTGAGATCTGAGGATGGCGGTTCAAAGACAGCCTAGGTAAGAAAGACTATCAGACTCTTATCTCCAATTAACCACCAGTAAACCAGATGTAGCACTATGGCTCAAGTAGTAGAGTGCTCGCGTTGAGCTGAGGAGCTGAGGGACAGCACCTAGCCCAGAGTTCACGCCCCACAACCGACAAAAAAAAAAAAAAATCAATAAATCAGTAAATCAATAAACCCAGGTTCTTCTATCTCCTATATAATTGAAGATGACCATCTAATCATTTTATATCACAATTTTCCTGAGTTCAATTCCTCAGCACCACATAAGCAAAAAGAAAAAAGCCGGAAGTGGCACTGTGGCTCAAGTGGTAGAGTACTAGCCTTGAGGTTAAGAGCTGAGGGACAGTGCCCAGGCCCAGAGTTTAGGCCTCATGACTGGACCCAAAAAAAAAAAAGAATTACACTTAATACTTGTATAGTACCTATAATAGTAAGAATATCTAGAAACCGTTAGTCTTCTTATATTGATAATATCCAACATATAGGAGACAGTAAACAAACTAGAATAAATGAGACAAAATTAACATTACCATATAAACTTTTGATATAAACATTGGACTATGCTGTTGAAAATTCTGAAAGAATAAAATGATAGCCACTTTTTTTCTGGTGACAGGAAAATTATTCTCAAAGACTATAATGAAAGTTTAGTAATTAAACCTTTCTATACAGAAAAAAATACAAAGAATTTTAAGAAATTAAGTTTCTACTTACGTCTGGTTTGGAATGCTGAAATATCTTCAGGGGAAATTTTAAGTCTGTTTTAGCTAAAGTTACTAAATATTCTTTCAATAGCTCATTAGCCACACCAGGGGACTGTTTCTCACAACGATGAAGAAAGGGAACCATCCACTGGTAGGCACTTGTCACATATTTGTCCTCAGAACACTGAAAGTATAATTAACCAAAACAAACAAGCATTAAATTAAATTAAAAACCATTTTATAGCGGACACATCCTAACGTTCATAGACAGACAGACTGTGTGAAGCAATGAAGCTTCACACTTTCTACTACAACCCACTCTGCAGGTCATCATGGACACGTAGACCGGCAGTCAGAGGAGAATGTGCCACCGCCCTCCTACGGCAAGAAGGGCTGCAGCAGCAATACTGCTGCGCCAACATGGGGTCCCAAATGGCCCACGCCCAGATCTAGAAATCATACTACTAGCTACTACTGAGCCATGGGGTCTTCCAGTGTGACAAGGACCCTAACACTTTTTTTTTGCACAGTCTCAAGAAACTTCATTCAGTTACTTACTTCTCACACTTGTAAAATATTTCATTTTGGTTTGAGACACATATTAATCAAGTCCATAGGGGGAAAAAATACATGAGAAGAAAGTTGGAACTAAACCTACACTATTCATCAGTAATCTCAGTTTTTCAATGTCTTCCATCTGCTGGAGTTCTTTCAAGGTCAGTGTTAAGTCACACCCGGCTTCATAAACTAGTGTTTCCAGTGTCACCAAGTCATCACACAGAACTAGCAAACCAGGAATCTGCCGCTCCATTCCAAGTCTAACAAGCGACAACGCACAGTCAACCTAAAATTGAAAAGTGACAGTAAGTTTGTGGGTATTACACATTGCTAATACATTGAAAGGAAAAGCTCTCAGTACATTATCTAATGCTAGTAACATATATGTAAAACTCCATTACCAGTAACATACTTTTATTTACTACAAAAATCTTTAACAGTTCTTCACCGAATATATCAAACTGTTTCAAAGAAATCAATCAACAACAAATACTGAGGAAAATGAAGGAAGAGGTGACACTTTTCAAAAAGAAATACTCATTACCTAACCTATGGAACTGTAACCCTCTGGTACATCACATTTACACTAAAAAGTAAATTTTAAAAAAAGATCTTGTATATTGTATACATGTTTATCTGAATTAAGGAAGGGAAGGGGAACAACAAAATGATGAGACAAAGGGTGAACCAATGCAACAGTGATACAATATATTGGAAACGAACTTTACAACTTGGGGGGGTAGGGAGGGCGAGAAAGTGGGAGAAAAGCAAGAGAGGAGATAATGATGTTTGAAAAGAAATGTACTCACTACCATATATATGTAACTAACCCCCCTGTACATAACCTTGACAATAAAAAAATTTTTAAAGATTTTGGCAAAAAAAAAAAGATTTTGACAACTACAAATATTGTAAGTAAAGATATGAAGAAGACAACCATCTTAAATTTATAAAGCCTAACAGTAAACAATACAGTTCTATATATACTTCTCCATTTAATGCTTACATTATATTAATAGACAGAGAAAAGAATAACAGGTAGAGACAACAGCAAATTAACCCTACTCTCACTATAATGCTCTGCTCCAAAAAGAATTATCTATCCCCCTAGTTTTTTTACTCCTCCCCTTTCAGAAAGCATTCAATAAAAATTTGCTCAATAACTCCTATACAACTATTGTCAGTTGGAGCAACTCTAATAATTAGGTATACCAAGTTAAGCGAACGATTTTAATCTAAATGCTCAGTAGACTGCCATTCATCCCTGGTTCCCAGTCAAATTTATGAAGTGCCATATTCTGTAGCTGAAGATAAGCCATTAGTCCTTCACTGATCACTTGTCATACTACCCCCTCACCCTTTTGCTCCTAGACCAACAACTGTTCATGGAGGGCCTACTGTGACCTAACACCACTCCAAATTTCCACCTCAGAAGGAAAAACGATGGATGACTCAATGATCGCACAGGCTGAGTTAACAGCTGTGTCTGACTGGCATCCAGAGAGAAAGAGGGGGTGCTTAGTCCAACCGTAGGACATCCTAGTTTAGTCCAGAAGAAAGAACACTAAAGTGGGCCCTAAAGAAGAAAAACTATTAATTAAGGGAATTTCACAATTAGGGGAAGAAAAGCTTGCAGGGTAGAAGCATACTGCACTAGCAAAAGTACAACCAGATCCAGGGGGACAGAAAGAAGATGGGAAGTGATATGAACATGGCTGAAGGAACAGGAAGAGGCCAAATGATAAAAATATGCTTCACTAAGATAAACTTCATCATTAACCCTAAAACACAGCACTATTTAAAGTTATCCAAAGAGCCACATGTTGAATATATTTACACTCTCTGGAAGAATACTTGGTATTTCCTAAATGATGAATTGATGTGAATAGTCTGGATTGAAAGTAGGTAGCCCAGTCAGTTCTCAATGAAATAACTCTTAGACCAGTCAGTTCTTAGAGGAATACTAACATTGAGGACCCACACTCATTAATTTGTGTGCTTATTCATTGAATAAATAGTCATTGAACATTCCCTATGTAGTGGGCAGTAATGAGATGCTAAACAGAGGCAGTATAGAAGAAGACAGAGGAGAATGAAAACAATCAGGAGGAAGAATTTATGACATCTGGTCAGACCAAATGAAGGAGAAGGAGTCTAGATTCATGGCTAGGATTGGCGATGCTGCTTCTGGAGGAGCCTATGGAATACCTACCTGCTCAGAGATCCAACTGTAGATTCCAAACCAGAGACTAAAATCTGGAAATCAAGTTAAGGTACCAGGCTGGAGATGGTATTTTGGAATCATCAGCACATAACTCATAGAGCAGTATTTGGAAAGAAAATCTGAGCTGGCCACACTTGTGCACAATATTAATAACAACAACTGTATCCTGGGGAATAATGATAAGGGACAAGCCAAAGAAAATAATACCCCTCAGGGATGGACTGAAATTAATGGCTAAGACCAGGACAGAAAAAAACTGAATTGTTGTCACAGGAAGAAGTTTCAGGAAATAAGCAGTAAATAGTATTATTAAAGGGCTAGGTCCCAGTGACTATACCCATTTAAGAGGCTCAGATCAGAGGTTCTCAGTTAGAAGCCAGCCTAAGCAAAACAGCCTACACAAGACACTTTCCAATTAACCAACAACAACCAAAACAAAAAACCAAAAAAAAAAAAAAAAAAACTTAGTGAAGTATGACAGAAGTTGTAATGTGGCAGTGAAAATGCTGAACCAGAGTGCCAGGCTCCAGACCAGCACATACATATTTGGGCACATGCATGCACACGTGTGTGCGCACACACACACACACACACACACACACAGTGTCAAAGGACAAAATGCTGAGCCTGAGTGCCAGGCTCCAGACCTGCACATACATATTTGGGCACATGCGTGCACGTGTGCGCACATGCACACACTCACACACACACACACACACAGTGTCAAAGGACAAAATGCTGAGCCAGAAATTAAGGGACGGCAGGTGTCAATGGCTTACACCTATAATCTTCACTACTAAGGAGGCTGAGATCTGAGGATTGTGACTGAAAGCCAGACAAGGCAGGAAAGTCCATTTTATTTACCTTGAGTAAACTCAAGCAAACAGAAATGGTGCTGTGGCTCAAATGGCACTGAGTTAGCCTTGAGCACAAAAAGGCTCAGGAACAGCATCCAAGTTCAAGCCCCAGGACCAGCAAAAAGAAAAAGGAAAACAGAAAAAGAAGAAAAAAAATACACTGAGAGGTGGGTAGCTATTCTAGTCTCTCTAAGATCAGGCTTCACAGCATGGCAGGAACAGCCAGACTCGGGGGAGAGGAGGAGTAAACTAAACTTGAGAAAGTGATGACCATGAGCAAAGGAACTATTTCTATATAGAACAGTGATAGGAACAGAGCTAAAACACAAGCCAGGAAGAATATAACTCTAGTTTACTTTTCCATAGTTACAATGAAGAGGCTTGAACGAACTTTCTGTGCTCTCGGGGAAGTGAGCAACAGACCCAGTAATGAAAGCAGAAAAAATAGATAGGTGATAAAGCAATCCCAGTCAAGAGATGCCTCTTCTAGAAGTCAGAAAAGGTGCAGATAGAAGGAAGTTCTGAGTTCTTTCAATGAGACACACAGCAGAACCATTTTCTGAGAATACTGAGCAATGCAGTGGAGGGCTAGGGGTAGAGGAGAAGGAAAAAAGGGAAACAGCCCTGTAACACACAGGGAAAATGCCAGCAACAGTTAAGCCAGTTAAATCCCAACCAAGTCCCAAGACAACCACAGGACTGACACTCGAAGAGAAATGAGTTCTCCAGTAAGAAGACTGGTGCAAATAAGTATAACAGACATAAAGTACAAGTAGGTAACGCAGAGGCAAACCGAAGACTCCTGGTAATACTTCATCAAATGTTTTTACCATAGTACCTAGTTAGTATAATTTGTGTCTGAAATGACACTTTTATTTCCATAATAACTTTAAAAAGCCATCTCAGTTGAATTTTCAGAAAACAAAACCATAACATACAACTCTATGCAAGTGAATTTCAATGCACAGCACATTAGCAATTTGTATTTGTTGTCTTCCTAAATACTCAAAAAAAAAATGCAATGTACTGAAACTTCAAATAAACATAGACTCTAGTGCAATAATGTAGCATTACACTACATGCCCCAAGCCTATTGTGGGTAAAATGCACCATGATAAATATTTTCTTCAGCCAACAAACAGGTTTTGCTGAAGGCATTTATAGGCACTAAGGAAAAAGAACTCCCATATCAATTAAATCTCTAAACATGAAAAAGATAAAAAAAAACCTACATCAAATATTACTTTGATTGCAGTGTAAGTGACATGAAACATCAATGCTTTACCTGAAGCTTAAAATGGAAGAGATGGAGAAGAATGCAAGCCAAGTAAATAGAGCCCACGAGGTCTCATAATTTTCTCTAATTTTGCAAAAAAAAAAAAATTCTAGATATCTAGGAGTTATTGTTTGATTGCTAAAATATTCAACTTCAGAAATATCTACAGTTTGGTTTCTGATGGATTTTTTTTCAGGCAACTTTGGGTTCAAAGTAGAATAGATCAGAAAGCAGAGTTCCTGCATGTCTCCTGCCCTCACCTCATACCACAGGCAGCCCCCACCACCAGCATCCCTCTCAGGGTAGCACAGACGCTACATGTGATCCGCTAATCACATAGACTCATCACTGTCAAAGTCCACAGTTAACATCAGGAGTCACTGCTGGAGGTAAAAGTTTGATTGGTTTTGATAATTGTGTAATGAGATGTACCAACCTTGGAGATGAACTTCATTGGGCCCTAGTAATTGTGTAATTACACATATCCACCATTTTCGTAACATAAATAGTTCACTGCCCTACAAATGACCTGCACTGTCTATTCAGCCCTACACCCTTGGCAATTACTGTCTCCACAGTTTAATCTCCAGATTGCATTTATAGGGATGAATCACACACCTATGTAGCCATTTCATAGCTGCATCTTTTGCTTAGAAATATATACTCAAGATTCCTCCATGTCTTTCCTGGACTGATAGCTCATTTGTTTTCAGTCTGCTGAAATAATACACCATTGTCTAGATGTATCACAGTTGATCCACTCACTTCTAGAAAGGTGTCTTGGTTCCTTAGTTATAGCAAATGAACTACTCAGACAAACATGTTACTAATTAGGAAAACTTAAAGGAGAATGTGACTGCCATGGAAACTCTCTACTATACTTTCTACCCAATTTTGCTATAAACCTAACCTTTTAAAAATACATAAATAGAGCACAGAAAAATAGTTTTTAAAGTTACTTTTTATGTTTCACTTCAGTATGTCACTTTTTTTCTTTTTCTTACTGTTATTTGCTTAACTTGAAATCTGACTACAAAATGGTGAAATACTGAAAATCAAGAAGTCGCACTAATCTATTTTAAGTGGACACATATGTTGGCCAGAACTTTTTACAGACACGAAAGATTTTTAAAGTTTCCATACTCATTATCAGTAGAACTAGGTGAAAATCTGTTTTAAAAATTATACAAATGCACAAGCAGACACTGACACACTTTCCTCTGATTCTCATAAAGCTCTATATAGAGTAGCAGGATTACAGGTGTGACCACTACACTCAGCTTTTTTTATTTTTTTTTAAATCAAACTCAGGACCCTCATTTATTTAGAGGCAAAAATCAAAAGAACATCTTATAAATATGTTAGAAACAATAGCAAGAAAGAAAAACCATTTGGGGTTCATTTCACCTAACGTCAACTTATCTGACCTTTTCTGCTTGTCTCAGACATATACTAGTTATTGCAAATAAGAGAAACCCTATGATCTATGTTTCTTTGGGCCTGGCTTACTTCACTTAATGTAATTTTTTCCAAGTCTTTCCATTTCCTAACAAATGGGGCAATGTTATTCTTTCTGATGGAGGCATAGAATTCCATTGTGTATGTATGCCACATTTTCTTGATCCATTCATCTACTGAGGGGCATCTGGGTTGGTTCCATATCTTAGCTATGGTAAATAATGCTGCAATAAACATAGTTGTGCTGGTAGCTCTAGAATGGTCTTGTTTGTGATCATTTGGGTAAATGCCCAAAAGTGGGATTGCTGGGTCATAGGGGAGCTCTATGTGGAGTATTTGAGGAACCTCCATGGTACTTTCCAAAGTGGTTGAACAAGTTTACACTCCCACCAACAATGCAGTAAGGTTCCCTTCTGTCTGCATCCCCTCCAGCATCTGTTGTTATTAGAGTTCTTGATTATAGCCATTTTAACTGGGGTGAGGTGATATCTCAGTGTCATTTTTATTTGCATTTCTTTTATGGCTAGAGAGTTTGAACATTTCTTTATGTGTCTATTGGCCATCTTTCTTTCCTCTTCAGAGAAGTTTCTCTGTAAGTGTTTAGCCCATTTATTTATTGGAAAGTTGTTTCTTCGGGGATTTGTTGTTGGGAAATTTAATTTTTTGAGTTCCAGGTATATTTTAGATATGAGACCCTTGTCTGTTGTATGGCTAGTGAAGATCTTCTCCCAATCTGTGAGCTTTCTATTGATCTTGCTAGCTATGTCCTTTGCCATGCAGAAGCTCTGTAATTTCATGCAATCCCATTTGTCCAACCTTTCTTTGATTTGTTGTGTTTCTAGGTCTTGGACACATTACAACAATGAGATGTACAAATCGTTATGTCGAAACGAACTTTACAACTTTGGTGGGTGGGGGAGAGGAGGATTGGGTGGGGGGATGAGGGGAGGATGGGAAGGGATGGCTAGGGGAAACAAAGGAGGAGGCTACAATGCTTGATAAGAAATGTACTCATTATCTTGCCCATGTAATTGTAACCCTTCTGTACAGTATTTTCACAATAAAAAAAAGACAAAGAAAAAGAAAAAGAAAAATTTCGGCCTGTGTCAAGGAGACTAGGGTTTCTCCTATTCCGTCCTGTAATGTTTTCAGCGTGTCTGCTTTGACTCCGAGGTCTTTGCTTTGTATGTCCCTCCCCCACAGTATAACCCCTGTTTTCACTGTATTTGATGTTGGTATAATTTGGAGAGAGGAAGGGAGAAAACAAATTGTTTAAATAGGGATACAGGTGGACCCACTGCAACAATGACATGTACAAGATGCTATGTCAAAAAACAAACTTTACAACTTTGGGGGGGATGTTAAGGGGAAAGAAAGGAGGAGGCTACAATGCTTGATAAGAAAAGTACTCATTACCTTGCTCATGTAATTGTAACCCCTCTGTACAGTATTTTCACAAAAAAAAACCTTATTAATAATAAAAAATAAAAAGAACCGAAGTAACTCTGTCTTGGTTATTTATGCTAGCCTATTATGTCTTTATACTCTTACAATTTGAAAAGTTTTAGCTATGCAAGTTGTTTATCATTTAAGTCAACATCTTTATCATCGTGCACATTGAAATGTATATGCTTTCTTTTAATTAAAATTTTATTGTAATGGCAATGTACAGAGGGATTACAGTTACATAAGTAAGGTAATGAGTACATTTCTTTTTGAGCAGTGTTACCCCCTCCCTCATTTCCTCCCACTTCTCCCTCTCTGCCTCTCCTCCCTCCAAGATGTAAAGTTCATGGGAAAAAATTATAGTAAGCAAAGTGAGCCAGACTCAAAGAAACTCAGGCTGCATGGTTTTCCTCATTTGTAATAACTAGAATTTGTCTAGGATATTCTTAGAAGAGGATCACAATGGCTCAATAGCTATGTGCATTTGACCATATACAATGGTAGTTATGGAAATGAACTCCAAGAAATGGAAACAATAACTGTTTGCAGTTACTTCTTTTTTTCTCTCTCCCTTTGGTTTATTCCTGTTGTCACTGTTTTTTATTTCTGTACCTTTTGTCATGTATATAAGTTTATCTGATTTGGGAAAGGGAATCACAAAAAAAAAAAACAAACAGTGGGACAAAGGGTGAGTGTCTAGCAATACTAAGTAGACACTATGCCAGCGTTTTTTGTTTTTTTTTTACGAAAAGATCTCACTTTTTCCTAGGCTAGCCTCAAACCATGATCCTCCTATAACTGCTTCTGCAGTTTATATTTTAAAGAAAGATTGAAAGCAACTTTTCTTCTATGGATTTGCTTTGCCATCATCTAAAACAAAAGCCACATGTATCCTTCTACAGAGAAAGAAAAGTGATCAAAACCAGTAAGAAATATTCATTGCAAATAATATCTATACCCCAACACCCTTGGCACTGTAGTCCATCCTGGAGGCCAGCATCACAGAGCAACTGCAGTCTCTCCCCTCACCTGCCGGGAATGATGCTCTATCTCCTCTGCTCTGCTCTGGTACCAGTCCATGACCTTCTCAACAGAAAGCTCGCTGGTCCTGTACTGTAGTAACTCAGGCTGTGCAGCATACAAAAACTCACTTTCATCTTGGAGACTTGGCTCAACCACCATTCTGCAAAGCACAAAGGAATAGTGGAACAAATAGAATGCTGTAAAGACAAACATAACTTTACGAGAGAAAGACAAGAACAGAGATGAGAGTAAATGTAACACTTTTTAAAAACTTAGTTTCCCACCGGTTTCCCTGACTTGAAACATCACAATGGATAAGAGGCCAAAACAACTATGCCAAAAATCAATCAAGAAATTGTTAGCAAAATCAAAATTACCTGTAAAATGGGAGCCAGAAGCCTCCCATTGGCCCACTAAATCAAAGTCATCTGTGCTTGCCAGCCAGGGCTCAGTTAGGAAAGTGCCCAAGTGATTCCAATGAGAGATCTTAATTTCAGAGTTCATATGAATCAGAATAAATGCTCCTTCTTCATGCTGATAATATACTTCTTCCAAGTGCCAGCAATCATGCATCATGCTGATATATTTGTGCATCATAGGACTACTCTACATCCTTCCTCACAGCGGGAAGAACAAGTCACGGCATAGAGGACACACAGAGGACAATATCTGAGGAGCAGACTTTATCATCCTGGTCAGGTCAAGTGCCTCCCAGAGTAAAGAGCTCTCAGAGGAAAATAAGGAAAACCCTGTGTCCCGCTAAGGACACCGAGTAATATGAGGAGAATGGGGGTGCCCGTGGTGGATCACAGTGAAGTTATACAGTAGGGAGCTGCAGTCACAACTGAATCAAAGGCACAATCCACTGAAAGCTCAGGAAACCATCTGCAAATTACGTAACTAAAACCACCCACGATTCCTTTTAGTCATTAAAAAAATGGGCATAATACCATACAAAAATGCTGTGAAAACTCAAAGCAATGGAAATAGAGCATACAGAGAACATGCCTGAGAACATCAGGAGCTTTGTTCTTAGACATATTTTTTTTCGGGGGGTATTGGGGGGTCTGGTCATGAGGCCTGAACTCTGGGACTGGGCGCTGTCCCTCAGCTCTTCACCTCAAGGCTAGCACTCTACCACTTGAGCCACAGCGCCACTTCCGGCCTTTTTCTTTTTTGCTTATGTGGTGCTGAGGAATCGAACCCAGGGCCTCAGGCATGCAAGGCAAGCACTTTACCACTGAGCCACCTTCCCAGCCCAGACAATTTTTTTAACCAGATTTATTAGCATTTTTAGTATATCACCTGACACACAAAAAAATTCCATAAATACTGGGGTATTTACCCACTTGCCTGAGACAGCCTACTGTGCTCCAAACCTATACTTCGTAAACCTTAAATGGAATGGCTCTTTCTATAACTAGTCTTCTAGTGCCTTAAACATATCCCCAACCCTCCCTCACCACCGCCACACAAAAACTGCAAGAACTGATCTCAGACAGTGTTTCTTCCATCTCCACCTCCAAGTAGCTGAAATTACAGACATGCGCTGCCACATTCAGAGTTAATTTTTTTCTTTATAATAATTATTCTCTTATACTCCATACATTTTTTATTCTCAATTCATGGAAAATTCCTTGATTTTATTATATAACTCTTCTAATTTTTGTATACCATTTATTTTCTAATATCCCAAAGTTCTATAGCTTTCTGTTCCTAATTTATATGGGCTTGTGAAATTTTGCAAATACAGTATCTTATCTAACAGGCAATATTAATATAATTCTTGAAGTTTTCTTCTTTCTTCATGTTTCTTTCTTTTAGTTCCATTATCTGTACATTTTCCTGCTTGACACTTTGTTCTCTCCAAATGTCCAGGAAGCTGACTTCTCTGCGTCCTAAGCTGTGAGGCCAAACCTCCGTATCTAGAAGCAGCTATTCCATTTCTCCAGAAAAGAACCCTCCAAACTTCTGGAGAGAACATGCCTGGTGCCTCTGGAATCCATAGTTCCCATATAGAGGACATATATTGCCTAAATTATTAGATTTTCACAGCCATCACTACACCCCAACTATCTCTGAATCTGAAATCTTCCTATCTCAACTACAATTTCTCTGACCCAGATAACAAATCTCATATGTTCACATGGACCTCAGCCCCACACCTCACATCCATCCCCTTCCTCAATTCCTGATACCTCCACATACTGAGACTCTCCCACATTAAGTCTTATAATACTGAAAATTAAAACTGACCCAAGAACAAAATTAGATATATGTATACCATAACTATGAAAACTACATCTGTTTATCTGAAATGCAGCAAGAGAAAACATTAAACTGAAAAGTTATAATGATTTTTAGAATAATGCCTTTGTAATAAAACATTTTCTCATTAAAAATTTTCACAAAAGCTGGGCACCAGTGGCTCACACCTATAATCCTAGCTACTCAAGAGGTGAGATCTGAGGATAATGGTTTGAAGCCAATCCAGGCAGGAAAGTCCATAAGATTCTTCTCTCCAAAACACTAGAAAATTGGAAGTAGCACTGTGGTTCAAAGTGGTAGAGTGCTAGCCTTACGCAAAAAAGCTCAAGGACAATGGCCAGGCCCTAAGCTCAAGCCCAACTACAAACAAAAAAAAAATTATAATGAAGTTGAAATAATAATAATGAAGTTAAAATCTTTACAGAACGCAACAGCCCAGGGAGTACCATGAAGTAAGAGCTCCCAGGCGCTCTTCACCTGTGCAGGGTATGCTGGTGGACACCAACCTGCATTTTGGCTCCTCACACCAATCTTTAGCCCGGTGTTTATGTTCATGCCAAGGAATGACCATCAGGGAACTTCCACTGCAACTTAAGCATAAACAAACAAAACAAAACATAAGCATTCAAAAGTATGCACTACCCAGCTTCTTAAGAAATGTGATACAAAGGGTTATGGTAACACCAAGATTCCTGTTTATGATACTCTAACTATCTGTTACATGATACACAGTAGATCCAAAACATAAGGCAGAAAGACTACATTGATGACTGTGGTTCTAAAAAATAACAAAAAGGAATTCAGTATAGACTATGTGGAAAATGACCAATATAATGTGAGGGCAGGGATAGGGGAGAAAACTGGGAGAAAGCAAAGGAAGGACTGACATTGTCCAAAAAAGGAAATGTATTCATTACCTGACTTAGGAAATGGTAATCCCTCTGTACAACATCGTAATAAGCAGAATAAAATTATATATGTACATGTATGTATATATGCACCTGTATGTGTATATGTATGTATATGTATGTATATGTATGGGTATATTTACATGTGTGTATACATATATATATATTCCCACACACACACCCCATCCTGGGGCTTGAACTCAGGGCCTGGGCACTGTCCCTGAGCATCTTCGTGCTCCAGGCTACTGTTCCACCACTTGAGCCACAGCGTCACTTCCGGGTTTTCTAGTAGTTTATTGGAGATAAGAGTCTTTGCCCCTGCTAGCTTTGAATCATGATCCTCAGATCTCAGCCACCTGAGTAGTAGGATTACAGGTATGAGCCACGGACGCCTGGCAAAATTATATTTTTTAAAAGGAAAATCCAAAATAAAATTAGCAATGACATAAAGAATAGAATATGCAGATATTCACTGACACAAGCTAAAAGATTTATCAGTATCAAGGCTATATCATATGATTTTCATACAAACTCAAAGCTTACAATTGAAAACAGTGCTACCAAGTGAGTTTCCAGTGATTGCAAAAATGGTTTATGTCTGTGTTATCCAATAGCTACATGTATGTATATTAAGAACTAATATATGGCTAATAATGTTAAGAAAGTAGACTTTAATTTTAATTAAATTAAATTTAAATATTGACATAAGGTTAGTGGCACTATATGACATAATAGACATCAAGAACAGGTAGGAGCAATAACAGAAATGACGTTACAGATTGAAAAGTATAACTAAAAGATGACATAAGAAAATGTAAGAGAGGCAAAGATGAAGACTGATTCAATAGAGTGAATAATAAAATATAAAGGAGGGAGAAGGAAATACAGAATGGCAATATCCAGAGAAATTTATTACAAATCAAGAATCACAAGAAATAGGAGCACATCTTTAAGCAAGTTGTGTAGTCATTGACAAATGATTTCCTGGAATGAAGAGCTCTCCACTTCCTCTGTAAGGCCTCATCTAGTTCTAGTATCCATAAAACTGAAAACAAATGATTCATTATGAATTAAAAATACAGACAAAATTATTTCAAAAGTTTTGATTGCTGGGCTTTTATGAAGTTTGATAAAACATTTTCTCTCATAATTGTTTCTATCAATAGCATTTTCCTAAAATTAAAAAAAGGCTGTACTTTCTTATACTACTAAGTTATGAAACATGCTTTCCATAAGGAACACTCTACAACTTTCTGAAAAATCATGCTGGTCAAGAGTGGTTTTCATGGAAAAAGCAACAGGAAACCACTAGAGAGCGTTAAAGAGAAGGGGAGAATTCATCAATCACATCATCACCTCACACTTATCATTATTAGAGCAAAATACCCCAAGTCAGAGAAGGCTTATTACATATATAAAATAACTTATTAGATAATCTATAGGTTTTCAACCAGCACATAATATACTAGTAACCTATGTAACACATACATACATTTTTAAGGAGCTTTAAATTTCTGAACCAAAAAAACATTAAAAATCAATAAAAATAAATAAATTTCTGAACCATTCAGGATAATTTAGAATGCATGTCACAATCATGGTATTTCATTTGCCATCAAAGCAAAAATTGTTTTATTTTCATTCATGTCAACAACTAATAGTTCATTCCAAATCACTGAAATGAAAAATAAAAGAAGTCATGGTGGAATGCAACAATGATGATAATATACTTCCAACAGAACAATGAATTGAGGATGAGGGGGAAAATAACCCAACAAGCTAGTATGCCTTTTCTAATTAAAGGAGACAAGGCTTCTTAAGCTACACAAAATATTTTCTTAGAGGCTCAGAAAATGTATCACAAATTGAGATCTGTATTTTCTATACAAAGTACAGATTAGATACAAGAGTTATTACTGAATTGATTAGTTATGTTTTAGATAAAACCTCCATTACATATTTGGACTTTAAAGTCTAGGAACTTGTAAAACTGTTATCTTCATTGAACAGAAATGGCTAAGAAAACACACATGCATTTATAAGAACACCATTAATAAAATGCTCTGCTCAGAAAAGACAGACCCAAAGGACTCTTATTACTAGAGTATTTTGCTGCATCTTCAAGGCATAGCATCCCCCGACCTGTTTCTAAATGTGCTAACAGTAGTAGTGCTGTTGGTACTATTATATATCAGCGATAATCAGCAACAATAATCCTGAACATCTCTTGATCACTCACTATGGAGCAAACAGAACACAATTATTTTTAACATACAATATCTTAATTTAGTACTACCAATATAATGAAATAGAAAAAAAAAACCCTCACAACCCTGAAGTGCATGCCTTAAAAAGCACTATCAGTTCTTTACTGTGCTTCAAATGATGATAAATAGGATTTCCTGTCAAAGCAGAATTAAGATTCTTTTAATACAGGATTCTGTCTATTGTGTCTACTGCTGGTCTCACTACTTTCATATGTTTAGCATTCAATAGATGCTTAGATTAAGGAATTGACAGCACAACAAAAATCATTTAAAGTGATCTCAAGACACAGCAAACAAGACTGGAACACAGCAAGGAAACAGGAATGTTTGCTCATAAACACAGACAGAACAGAACCTATAGATCTGAGACTAAGAGCAAATACACTTTTTCCTAACATATTATCTGGAATAATTACACAGAGTGAAGATCCCTTGGTTTGAGACACTTGAGAAGTGTCTTAGAACATTTAAGAGTGTTTTTACAGAGTTTAAAGAAGAGCATTGTGTTAGTACTCAAAAAGTTTTGGATTTTGGAACATTTTTTTATTTCAGATACTGAATATTGAAATCAGGATGTCCAACTGTACTAATAAGTGTTGACAGCCACTGTTATTCAGACAAATAGACATCTCACTGTACTTAACATCAGAAAAAGAGGGACAGATATTTCCTAACACTCACCATTGTTTACACTTCAAAATGGTAAGCAGGATGCTAGAATGCTTAATAAAATTCAGCCTTTTATTCTGTTTAGGTCTAATCAATTACAAATAGGTTGTATACAACCTATTCAAAGAGGCTGTATAAAATTGCTGTTAACAAAAACTTAGCAATCATACTGTACAAAGTTCAGCAAGTTGCAAAACTTACACTAATTATGTGTTGGATCTAAAGTTCTATAAGCACAAAATTGCATTTACATACACTTTTTCTATTTTTTTTCCACTCAGGAAATGCTAACATTTAAGTTCATCATCTCCATTTAAAAGAGGAAAAAAAGAATTACACTATACACTGAAATTATCACTTTACAAAATAATGACTGTTTTGCTTAATTTTAGGATCTTTATACTAGACCCCTGCTCATTGTCTATTCCCAACAATAAGCTATGCAGGTTCCATGTGAAGGTAACATTTACGTGTCAGCAGGAAAGAAAGGAATACAACAAGTGCTATTATATTCAACAATTCTCTCACCAATTATTTCGTACACTAAATATAAATGTTTTATTTCAAGGAAATTTTTTCAATAACAGATTTCAAAAAGTTCTTTTATCCATGTTCTATCCTTGGAAACAAAAGGCAAAATAGATGCTGTATTACTACTAATTGCCACCTTTTAGGCATCAGAGCAGTTATATTTATTTCCATTATTTAGCAAAGGAGAAAATGTTCTAATAAATGAAGCACATAAAACAATAACTTGGGCCTCCATTTGTGACAGCACTGTGGTTACCATCAGGAGCAAGCCAAGCTTATCTGAAACTCAATGGAAATCAATCAAAAAGTGACTCACTACTCATAACTGCAAGTTGGAAAAGCTACCCAAAGGCATCATTCAGAGTTCTCTTATTTAGTTATTCATTTTTGTGTCTCTTTTTTTTTGGGTGGGGGGAAGGAAGAGTCTGGTCATGAGCCTGAACTCTGGGCCTGGGCGCTGTCCCTCAGCTCTTCAGCTCAAAGCTAGCGCTCTACCACGTGAGCCATAGCGCCACTTCCGGCTTTTTTTTTCTGCTTATGTGGTGCTGAGGAATTGAACCCAGGGCCTCAGGCATGCAAGGCAAGCACTCTACCACTGAGCCACCTTCCCAGCCTAGTTATTCATTTTTTAGCTTAGAAAACATGGCATAGAAACAGGCTATCCTGGAAACTACTATTTTCTCAGATACCCTCAATATATAAAAAAGAGACAAGAATGGGAACAGCATGCCCCCAAATCTGGATTACTGGCCTCCCATCACCAGCTTAACCTCTGGGCCCAGGTGTCTCATCTACTTAACAAATACCATAACACTGCTAACTTCGAAAAAGCAACATCAAAGTAGATTCTTCCTGAATTCTCATCCATCATAATTTATAGATGTCTAGCCTCTGTGACAGAATAGTGCCTCTAGCTTACAAACCTGTATAATCTTGATGCACTTCTTCAGCTATCTGTGCTTCACTGTCCTTATCAGCAAACCAAGAATAATAACATCAGTTAGCTCATTGGTGTATATATAAATGATGAAAATGGTACCTATATACAGTAAGTATTCCATATTAGCCATCATGAAAGTTATTATTAACAGGAGCAAAAAAGGTTTGCACAAGTTGTAGATCCAAGATACATGTCATTTGATTAACATTTCAAGTTCTACTTTATACTAAATAGTAATACTATATCAATGGTTGTATTTATAGTACCTATTGGTT